TTAAACAGAGCAGCAGTTTAACATGTGTAATATCTTACCGCAAGACACAGTGACATCCATGACTTCCACCTGAGCCCAACGGCTGAATTCAAAAGCATCTCCAGAGTTGACCCTGCAGATGTAAAAGCCAGCATCCTTCAGATGGACTGGACTTATCACCAGATCCGCAGAGAAGCTGTTTGGTACCTGTGGTTGTGGAAAATATGAAGACTGTTTACTAACTTGAAAAAAATGAATGGCCTCTTTAGCATTTACTATTAGGTCTTTTGTCTTCATCCCCCATTGGCTCTACTTTATTTATCAAAAGATATTTTTTCCAGGGCTGTGTATCTTGTTGAATACACAAGGTGCATTGTAGGTTTTTAGTTATTTTTCAAGATCAGAGAACATTATGCAGAAGGAATCCGTGTCTGTGTTTGTGCATTAAAATGATCAGACTCTGGCAAAACAGTGCCATCTTTCAAAAAACAAAACAAAGAAACACACACATATTTTATCCAAAAAAACCTTCCTTTAAAGTTGTTAGTGTATGGGTAGGAGGGGTGGCAGCTCACCTCTTCCTTGGTCTTGAACCACTGGTACTGAACTGGAGATCTGCCCGAAGCAAGGCAGCTCAGCCGAAGATTGTGACCGGATATAAGAGCCACCGACTGGGGCTGAAGGAGGATCTGCAGGGCTTTAGGAGAATTTGTATTTTAATTCATGCTTTGTTTTAATTTGAAAGACATCTGTAGCAAAGACAACACTAAATACAAAATGTAAAAATCACCCAATTGGGTTTATATGTGGTGGTGGTTCCCCATAAAAGTGTTAATGCAGTCTCACTGTACTTAAGCAATTAACATTATGACTATTTCCTAGATTAATTGATTATTTTTCAATCTATGAAATGTAAGGGTTTAGGAATTGTGAAAAATGGCAAAGGTGATGTCTGTAAGTGATTTGTTGTGTCAGTCTAAGGTGCTTGCCCCACGGGAACGCATACGGCCGTTTGCGTAACTGTTTAGTGTCATATAGACCGTTCTGCCACACTAGGATGACCGAATATGGCAGTAAACAACTGCGGTAACGATAACGGGTCCCAAGGTGGATAGAACGGCATACGCAACGCTCTGGGGGGGTCCAACGGCTCTGTGTGTAGGACCTATACGATCATTTTGTGGTAATGATGACGCAATAGCCCTGCCTCCCCCCACCTCTGCTGCTCACCCCCGCAAAAGTAAACTGCACACTGAATTCAGATTATTTATCTTTCTCTCGATATGGACATAAACGCGAGTGAAGTCTAATCTGACAGGACGGAGACACGCAGCTCCTCCCGCTGATCATCTTTATGGTAAGTGTCTGTTCATTTCATTTAAAGGTGGGGTAGGTAATTTCGGAGAAACCAGCTCGAGTGCGTAGAATTTGAAAATACACAACCGGAGAAAATCTGCTACTTCCTTACAGAGCCCCTCCTCCAACACACACGAACGCGCACATGACCAATGAGGGCACGAGATAAGTTTGTGCACAGATGGAAGGCTGACAGGCAGGTAGGCCATCCAGTTATTTTAGCCGGGCCGGCAGTATTACAGTATTACGGCTTCCACAGATGACATTTTTTTATGGATTTTTTGTCAAAGCACTTAAGATATTCATTGCTATCGGGATGTTAAGAGCATTCCATGGAATATAACAAAAAGTGTATCTCGAGCCGGTTTCTCAAACTTACCTACCCCACCTTTAATTGTGTTGGTGAATCATAAATATATGACCACTTTATTGTTAACCTGTTTTTTCCCCTTACGTATTTTAGTGATTTATATGGCTGATTTATATGGCTGACGCACAGTTCCTCTGTATGTCAGCTTTGTAACTGTCTGATATCAGGATCTTTGTCAGTTCTACCCTCAAAATAAACACCAAAGAAAAGATGTGAAACTTGCTTCCATGTCAGCAGCTACACAGGAAAACACACACTTCAAGTCAGATCATCACCCTTAGCTATTTTTAATTACCTCTCAAACTACCTAAACTAGTTATAAATATGTTTATTTTTTACTGTCGGGTCACTCATTACTGGATCAGCTGCTGCATGAGACAGACACTGACGCTGTCAGAAGAGAGGAAAAAGAGAGGCCAGGCTCCGTGTATTTTATTATTATATATAGTCGTTATTCATTTGTTTTAAAGCTTAATAAATAACAAAGAAGACCTTTGACCGGCACTTTTATAATTTTGTCCGGAAGATTTAAACTTTTACACACGTTGACCGGCGAAAAACTCTGCCCGGTTCCCTCGGCCCCCACCACGGTGAATAAACAGAAGGGCAACCATGACAACCATGCTTCTTCGCTGCTTTTGTGGAGGAAGTTACAGCGCCACGATTGCGTTAATCCTATGCGTTTTGCCGTATGCGTTCCCGTGGGGCAAGCACCTAAACCGTTCAGTTCAATGTGATAGAAGACAAAGAAAAGCAGGAAATCTCCAGAGACTTATAACTGCATTTTTGAATTAAGAAAGATTACTTTAACAATAATAGAGTATCAATAAATAAATACAAAACTAAAACTGATTGAACCTTACTTGAATGAGGAGCTTTTTTACTCACTGTAATCTGGCTGGCAGTTGTACTGTAAGGGTGAGTCATACTTTACCTTTAAAGCTAAAGTTACAAATACAGAGAACAAAGATCTCCCTGATTTGGATACTTGATATCATGATAACAAAAGTCTGGAGGCGTTGTTCCTGTACCTGGAGGTTTCAGGCACTGCAGGGCCTCAGAGTTGCCCACAGTTTGGAGGTAGTCGGCCAGCTGACCCGTGGTGCAGCCTCGTTCTCCCATGAGCCTCAGCAGCATGCGGCTCGGGCTTCCCTCCAGCTCCAGCACCTTCAGAGAGCACATCTCCATGTCGTCTGAGCTGGAGAAAGAAGCAAGAGGAGGACAGCACGTCATATTTTAGAAATAACAATCACATTTTTTACCAAGTATGTCGACACATACAAGGAATTTCCCTCTGGTTTATATAGGATAATTAATGAAACATAGACATATTCAAAATAAACAGGCAATAGCTGAACAGCAATAACACCGCATAGGGGACAGTAATAGTAGATAACGTCAAATCTACATGGTGATGGCTTTATAGATTTATTAATGGATTACGTGCAATTCTTTTGACCTTGTTTTTTGACCAAAATATTCAACTATGATCTAAATGTAAGAACAAGGTTTCAGCTTCAGCACAGATATTCCAAATCGAAACACAGAGCTGGAAACTTCTTTTAATCCTAAATTGTTTTCTAAAAAGACACCAAAAAATAGGTTATTATATATTCTGATGCTGTTGAAAATGCTTGTTTACATCATTTTCGGTGTAAAATGTGTCTTTGTCTCAATATGTCATATTATGTGATAATAAACCTATAATACAAACAGTAAAAATACAAACAGATTTAGACTTTATGCACAGAATCTTATTGTATGTAACTATGTGTTCATTTACAGGATGTGGACACATAACCATCTATAGGAGTTACGCATTATTAACATGAATGTCCTTTGTGTCTTTTACGTTTTTCACAATAACAATCCAGCACCTTGCTTAATATGTAGGCTAGTAGCCTATTATCTACTTAATTGTAACTTATAACGTACAGTTGGGCACTTTAATACTAAATGTGTAGAACATCAAATGCATAAAGCACAATGCTATTATAGTAACCAGGTAAATTCATCTATATGAGAAAATAAACATTTCATATATCATACCATAATACAGCCTGCAACGCTAGGAGTCAGACACGCTTGGATTGTTTTAACAACAATATCTTTGTGATTTTAATCGGTTAACCATGTCAATTCTTAATGTATTAATTTCAGCCTACCTGACTCTGAACCGTCTGTCATTGCCGACTATCTCTCCAAGTTTTCGCCATCCTTTCTTGCTGGATTTGTCCAACACATCGCAGAGCTTCTTCACCGCCGGCTCCTTCAACAAGTTGATCTTCGTGGACCGCTCCAAAGAAGAGTCCGACATGATGGAGCCAGGCAAGAAAAGTTTACCATCAACGCTAATTAGACTGAAGACACTAGTGTTACACCTGACAACACTTCACTTCACGACCAAAAAAAGTTGACTTCCTGAAAGAAATGGTAAAAGTGATACAGACCCTCCTACTGCGCCGTTTTGGTTTTTCCCCCACGCAGCTGCGCGCTTCTCCTGCCGAAGAGTGTGTATGCATCAAGATGAAGTACATTTGCAGGTTGGATTTTGTGTTGCCCAAGAGTATGCAAAAGGCTGCCATCTTGGGAAGATAGATCAGGATACATTTCACAAATGAAATGTTGAGTAAAATAAATTCAATATTGAAACACCGACATCTTGTGGTATCTGCACTCTTTGGCTGTAATGTACTCGGTGAAGTCTTGGAAAAATGAAAACTCTCCCCTTTTTCATGACACATCCCTTACACTACCTGAGTCGCACACACACACACACACACACACATACGCACGCACGCGCGCACACACACAGACACACACACGCACGCACGCACACACACACACACACACACACGCACACACAAACTATAAACATATGTGTATTAATCAGTTCAATTTATTTTATTTATATAAGATAAGATAAGAAGATGGAACTTTATTTAGCCCCGTGGGGAAATGCAGGCGTTTATAGCAGAACCAGGGTCAGAGTGAAAAACAGAATTCACACAAGGTAAAAATAAAGATAAAATAGAATACAAATAAAGTGATAAAGTGATTAAGTAACTGTTGAAACAAGCTATCACAGTAAAACGTTGAGCATTTGAATGTTTTTTGTAGGGTGGCAAACATGTTTGAAAAATAAATCATAACAGCAGCGTTTTCGGTGTGTAATCAATGTTTGTAGTGGTCACATAGAGAAAGTAGGCTAGTACTGTACTCAGATCAGCTGGGCAATTTGTGACGACAACAAGCCCCTCCCCTTCCATGTCTCACAGGACACCTCCTCCCCAAAATCATTTCATACCTGAGGTGCCGGACACACCGGTTGTCAGGTGTGAAGAGATCGTCCATGTAATGTAAAACTGAAGAAGGCTTCTCGTCTCTGTCGATGTGTCAACACCAGTTTTATGTAGCAAAACCCGCCCTGAAGAGGTAAGTAAACAGATTTAATAATGTTCATTGAGTTTGTGTGCTGTATGTAATAATATGCATTAAACATACTTATTATTACCTTCGAGTAGCTGTGTGTAGTTCTCAGTTTCTATTAAAAGCAGTGTAAAGCCCTGTTATTTTTCACATATTCTGTGATCACATAGGCTAATGACACATTTGATTGCTGTGTATTGTTTTATTATTTTGATAACTATAACAAAAACAAAACACTGTATGATTAAACTGAACAGAGCATTTCTTTATTTGATTATTTAAGGATAGGCTATATTATCACAGTTGCTTTTTGTGTTCTTAATCTCTGTGGCTTGTTGTCTAAAGTAATACTTACATTATGGTGGGGCACTGAGGCATCCTTCCATTTAAGATTCAAAGGCATTATTGTCACATGCACAGTAGCTCCAGTGTAGATATAGCAATGAAAATCTTAAATTCCAAGCCAATCCTGATATTATTATTTTTTGTCTTGGCACAGAAAAATTGAGGATTTAAACTTGTTGTGTCTGATATATGAACGCAAAGATAAATTGTGATGCATTTATATGTGATTTGATCATTTGTAAGAATGGCTGCCATGTGCATATAACATTCATAATACCACAGACAAACTGCTAAATTCAAGTTTAATGCTGAATATTTAGCTTATTATTTTTAAAATGTCAATCTCTGCTTGTCTTCTGTCAGAACTGAAAGAAATGCCTCCTGTAGCCCGCCTTGCTCAAGCAATTTTGTTCAAACTCATGAAACTGAACTAGTTTTCACTGAGGTTATTGTATAAAAAACAAGAAAAACACAATTACAAAGGTGTAACCTCCTACCATTGTGGCATCCTGTAAATGACATGCTGGAGGAAGCTTTCCCACACCTTTTCAGGTGAATAATTGCATCAAGCAGTTCAGTGTTGTTAAAAAGATCAGGCAGTCTGATCCAGGGAGCATAAATCTGCCAATCAGGCTACCTCAGAACATTTTTAACAAGTCCAAAAACAGCAGGAATTCAACACAAGACTTGCAAGCAGTTAAGCTTCTAGGGGCTGAGTGGACTGTCACATATGCCTGTCTGTGTGTGTGCGTGCGTGCATTTGTGTGTGTGTGTGTGTGTGTGTGCGTGTGTGTGTGTGTGTGTGTGTGTGTGTGTGTGTGTGTGTGTGTGTGTGTGTGTGTGTTTGTATGTGTGCGTTTGAGCTTTATGAAATAGGGAAGTGCATAAAAGTGGTCTAAAGTCCATTACAGCTATTTCCAATGTTCACTTTTACACCAGTGAGTGAGATGAGCTAAAAAAACAAAAAATGTAAGTTGTGAAATATTTGTAAATTATATTTCTGTGTATTATATATAAACTGAACATTTATGTTTTGTTTGACTAATTTAACACAATACCACCAGTTTATAGTTGAATCCTATTTGGAGTTAATTCTGGTAAATCGATATTTGAAACCAGTCTCGCCTTCACAACTCTATAAGCTTATTTTGGGTAATGTTGCAGATCCCCTCGATGAAAGAGTTGATGAAATTATACTGTCGTGTTGATTCTCACATATTTCTTCATAGTATATCATGTTACGATTGCATCTGGTGAGGGCCTTTATGTATTGGCTACAACATGTACAAACAATTATTGCTTCTCCTCGTTGTTTTCCCTTTATATCTCCTTGTTTTAGGTCAAAACAAGGCACGCAGCCAAGCCACGGGTTTATATCGCATCATTAACCGCTTGTTGGTAATGTCACTTCCTGTTTCGCACCAAGCAGTGTGACGGTTTGTGCCAGGATGAGGAGAGATCTTCGGGGGGCACTGCTCCTGCTGCTAGCTGTGCAGTCCAGCAGTAAGTGGAAAGGCTCTTTAGTTAGTTGTTTTTGGTTAGTTGTTTGGTGAGTTGTTTGGTGAGTTGTTTGGTGAGTTGTTTGGTGAGTTGTTTGGTGAGTTGTTTGGTGAGTTGTTTGGTGAGTTGTTTGGTTAGTTGTTTGGTTAGTTGTGGGTCTGTTTACAATTTTTTTTATAAAAATACTTTCCTCCACTAATATATATATATGTAACTAGACAAACAGATTTTGGATTTATTTGTATAAGTTTGGAGATCTACCTCTGATATTTTTTCAGTGCCCACAGCATTACAAATTGTTCCATTACTGCTGAATGAAAAGTACCTAAGATAATTTTATTCTATAAAATAAATTAAACCAAACTATGTTAATAAACTGCTCACAGTATCTTCTCTAGATTATCCACCATGCCGGCAAAATGCATTATACAAAATAGATGTCACCGTTGCAAGAACAACTTATTCAATACTGTGTGCAGAAACAAATTCAATCTTCCTGGGTTGTTGGTTGGATGAAGAAATCTTAGATACACATATTTCAAAAACTTGTGCAGTTTCATTAAACAAAGGTTCAAAACAGCCCATTAACTTGTCGTTTTAAATGTGTTTCTGTTGTTTCATATATTACTGCTACTGAGTTTGGATTTACGCGCTGAGGTTTGTTTGTCTCATGTGTTGACAGGCATGTCTGCACCAGGGAAACCGGTCCTGCTCAGCTGCAGGTCCCCAGAGAAGGAGACGTTCACCTGCTGGTGGGAGCCAGGCTCTGACGGGGCGCTGCCCACCACCCACCACCTGTATTACGAGAGAGAAAGGTCAGTCCAATTAGCTTTGTTTTTAATGTACTTGGAATTTGAGAATTGTGCATGGATTCAACAGGTCACAGTAAAAGTTGTAGGAAAGGTGAGATCGAGGTGAATGACCCAAAACAAAACATCGAACCAGTACTCAAGGTATGTTTTGACCCCCAGAAGCCCCATAAAGACCAAGGAGTTTATCACCCACACCAGTGAAAGTGAAGCTTCTGTTGTTGAGTTGTAGTGTTGGAGACAGGCGAGTGGAAAACTACCGGCTCTCTTGCGGACACAGTAGTGCTCGGTCAGCTGGGCACGAATCTTTGTTGCTGTGCAAGTAGACTCCAAAACGTTTCACCTGTGTGACCCTCACTCGTCCTGGCCTGAGAAAATGTAAAAAAGCTGCTGGTTAAACATTTTTCAAATGTTGGCAGCATAAATTGTTAGGTCCACTAGTTTGGTTCGAAATATCGCGACAACTACTGTAAGGATTGCCATAAAACGTTATACAGACAAGGTCCCCTGAGGATGAATCCTTACTAGGGATCCCCAATGCCATTGATGTCAACCAATACTTTGGTTAATGCCCGAATAACTTCAATACTCACCCTCAGCTGTAGCTTGTGTTTAGTGCTTGTCATCAGCATGTTAGTTAATTGATGTTAGCATGTATATTTGCCTAATTCCAATCTTAAAAAAGGCCACAATACATGGCATTGTTTTTAATGACAAAAAGTCTGACATTAAGGATGATGTTGTAGTGGTTAATGAACAGACTGTGTAGACATCAAGTCCAGCCTTGTACTTGTTTATTGAATGTCAACATTTATTTACTGCCCACAGCACAGTTTTACGATGCTGACTTGCTGTCCTGTCAGCAGAATGCCCTGAGCAGTGTTCACTGGTCACTGAAGGTCTTATTTGTCTACGTACAGATTGGAGGGGACGTACGAGTGTCCGGACTATCTGTCAGCTGGGAGGAACTCCTGCTTCTTTGACAAGAACCACACCTCCATCTGGGTCGACTACTACCTGACTGTAATGGCCTCCAATGCCCTCGGTAATGCCACTTCAGACCCCTTCAAGATGGATGTGATGGAAATCGGTATGTTTCTACCAAACATAAGTAAAAATAAAGATATGAATCCAGTGGATTTGGCTCTTCACTGAACTACTTACTATAATGTCTTTATCAATGGTCACATTCCTTTATGGTCTGTTGCTTGACAACAACGAACCACAAAGGAAATAGTTGAGGTTTTCTGCCACTGATTAAATCAAATGAAGTTAAAACATGTTTAATTACTCATTCAATTATATTAGAGTATTGAATTATTTATAATCCAGAATATTTATAGAATATCTTCCTTGCTCACTGGTGTTTTTGTGTCACACTTGAAGAGATACCCTTTGACCTATTGACAGCCCCTCGATCTGTGTATTCCTTAGAGTAGAAGACAGCAAGCAGCAGAAAATGATCTGTAATGATTCAGCTAATCAGTTTTATTGGCTGTGCAGCCTTATTGAGTTTAGAAGAATGGAAAATGACTGACAGATGGAAAAGAGGCACAGAAGAAAAGCCTGAACAGAATGAGGAGGAACTGGTTTGGGACTGGTGTGAAACTTGTGTACAGTCCAGGATCAGATTTCACAGTTTTAGTTTGGTGTTTGAATGCGGTCTCCTTACTACTGTACATGTGGAGCAGGGAACACGTTGCATGCAGGAAAATAAGGAATAAACTTAATTAGATTTTGTCTGAGGGATCTTAACTTACAGAAATACCTCGACAACTATTGTATGGATTGACATGAAATGTACCTTTCTATAGCCCCACTGCTATATGTCAGTTTCCACTTATCCACTGAAATATTTCAACAAATATTGGATGGATTGATATAAAACTTGGTCCACACAAAATGTCCCTCTCAGGAGGAATGCTGATCTTATTTTGTGATCACTCAAATTTTCGTCAGGTAAACAGTTGTATTTGTCCAATACGTTGGTTATATTGTTTCTAATTATTTCGGGGATGTTTTCTCTTAACAATGACTGACAGGATCTATTTTATTTTTAAGTAAGTTTTGCATTGTTGTTTTGAATATATTAGCATGTTGGCTTAATCATTTAGCGCACAGCATTTCTTGTATGACTCTGGGCTCAGACTGTTGTTCTGTCTCGACAGTGAAGCCCGATGCTCCTGGAAATGTAACGCTGCGGGTGGAAGAGAGAGAGGCCAGTCCATGTCTCCACGTCAGATGGATGCCTCCCTCTAACACAGACACCAAGTCCGGTTGGGTCACTATTAAATATGAACTAAGGGTCAAAAAAGATAACAGCAACAACTGGAAGGTGGGTTTGAAATTGTAAAAACTGAATTCCTACAAAATAATTTTCACACAAACACATCCTTCACAGTGGCATCAAGTAGTATTACGGTTGTGTTTTTACCCTTTTGAGTTCCCAAAACTAAATGTGGACTCATGGGATGCTTCACAGTGTGTTTGTTGTGCAGGACAGTGTTTCACCACGAGGGCCAAAACTAGACAATCCATGATTTTAAATCTGTTATAAATGTTTTCAGATTCTTTTAGAGGTTTGTTTTAGAGCTGAAACCATAAGCTGATGAATTGATTGAGTACAAAGGTACCTGCTTCTCAATGGTGATCATTTGCTTAGTCCTATATGATAGCCAACTGAATATCTTTCACTTTTGGACTAAGGGTTGTAAAAAAATAAAAACACTTTATTGCCATTTTATGGCACAGATAATTAGTCAGAGAAAGATTATATGCAGATAAGTTTCAGCACTACTTTCTTCTTCATCACTTACTGTATGTTTGTATGAACAGTAATAAGCCCTTTTGTTTTGCAATTATAATCAGTTGACAAACTATATAAGATAATGTGACTGACTGTATTCAAGTCATCATTTGCAAAGTGAAGTGTGAAACAGGTCAAGACTAAATTTGCCTCTTTCACTTAATTTTCCTTTAGGAAACATGATTAACACAAATTAAAACAAGCAACTGGCTGGTAGAAAAAACTGGAAAAGTACAGAGTTGGAATAAAAATGTTCATTATTTTAGGAGGCATTTGGGGGCATTTGGGACCCAAAGTTGTCTGACCAAACTCGTGAAAGTTGTAATTATCTATAACTTCTCTTGAAATCAGGTACACTTTTAAACAGTCGTTTGGTCAATCCAGTAGAGGGCAATAACAGTCTCCTCCAGGACTGTCAACAGGAGTTTCAACTTTGACCCAATTCTATTCTACAGACTCTGTTTCTGTTTCATTCAGCATATTTTAATCATCCTACTGTAATTCAGTTAAAATAAATGTATTGCAGCAGTAATAATTCATTGGAGTCATTATGATACCTTTCTAAAAAAGAATGCCCATTAGAATAATTGAATAACATAAGGACATTAAATGAAAGAAAAACAAAACTATACAAATAAATTGTTTCACCTTATTTTTACTCCTTTTGAAAAAAAACATTTCTTTCTTTTATTTCTCCCTACCGTCGTTTTTGTTAGTTAGGAATCACAAAATCATTTGATTCCTAACTAACAAAAACGAGGGTAGTTTTCATTATCTGTGCAGTTTTTAAGATCACACAAAGTAAAAACAAGCTATAGTTGATACATATTGTGTTGGTTTATATAATATTGCAATACTTTTAGCCATTTTTGTTTGCAACTACCATTTGACCAAAATCTGACCTTAATCTGGGTATGAGGTCAACGTGGTGATTTTTGTCTTCTGTATTTCTCTAGGAGTACACGTCAGGCACGCAAACTCACTTCAGCCTGTACAGCGTCAGTCCTGGGGGGGTGTACACGGTGCAGGTCCGCTGCTTACTAGATCACGGCTCCTGGAGCGAGTGGAGCAACACCACCTTTGTGAAAATCTCCAACTGTAAGTCTAGGAAGCTCTTTGGTGAGGTAGCCACTGTTGCAAGCATGACTAATTACTGAAAATGTTTTTTATTTTGTCCTGTTGTACGTAGATCTTCAGAATGAGAGACCGTTGTCGATGTTGATTTCTATCCTCTCTGCCATCTTATTCATAATGGCAGGGTTGATTTTAATCGCGAAGAGGAAATCGTATGTATCTCCGGCAAAACATATGTATAACTCTTAATAGAGAGTCAAGATGAGGATACTTTGACTGACTCCCCTTTGTTCCCCAGGGTAAAGCAGTGGGTTCTCCCTCCTGTTCCTGGTCCAAAGATAAGAGGAATCAATTCTCAACTTCTCCAGGTAACACTGAATCATGATTTCCCACTTTTGGGGATTTTGTTGAGGTCATAATGTACTGAAATTACTCTAAATAACTTCCAGAGTGGGGGATCTGACGACGTCGGCAATGCCCTGATCATCAAACAGAGCTTTCCTCCTATTTACTTTGTCTGGGAGGACCAGATGGAGGATTACCTAATTGTGACTGAAAATGAAGATTGGCTTTCGTCCAACTCTCAGAAAAGGAAGAAAAGCTTGATTCCTGCTTGCTTCCACTTCGATTCGGAAATCCATTCTAAACAGTCACCCTGCCACCAAAATGACTGGGAAAAGGATGAGGAAATGAGCCAAGTGGATAACAACAACAAACCATTCACAAACACAGGTTATGTGGATTTTCAGAGACATGTGGAAAACGTACAGGAGGCAGATGTGAAGCATGTGGACTACAGCAGAGTTAAAGAGGTGAAAGGTGACAATGTTCTTTTCCTCGAGAAAGAAAAGGTCCAGAGCTCTGGCTACATGGACTTTCAGAGACAAGAGGGAATACCAGAGGACTACAGCAGGGTGAAAGAGGTGGAGAGTGATCATTTGGTCGTCCTGCAGAAACAGAATGCAGCTGACATGTCCTGTAAAGACGAGGGAAACCACTACACAGACTGTGCCCTTCACAAGCCAAGAAAACCTCATGTATGCACAGAACTCAGCGATAGTGGATATGTAGATACAATCCCTGCACCACCTTTGATGTAAAGTTTTTGTTTTATATTCAGTGTACAAATATAAAAGTAATATGTCCTGATTTATTGTTGAGAGTTAAAGAAAAAGGCTGCAAATATTCTATATTTGTTGTCATAATTATTGTCTGGATTGCATTGAAATTTGGAACAGACATTCATGTTCAACAGAAGATAAACCGACCTTTTCCTTTTTACAACATCCATGATATTGATATTTTAGTGTTAGAGTGAAAATGTAACAACCATGGGATAGATTTCTGTAAAATGTGTTAGATTTTTAAAAGTTTTTTTTTTTATGATATACTCTAATGACATTGACTGCTCTCCTGCTTCCAATGATTCAAACTATTTACTTATACATTGAAAAAGCTTGAGATCAAAATTGTGCGGGTGCTAGTGGAGCCTCGCAGATGGGGGTGCTCCATGTAACGATAGAGTATTCCAATGTCTTGACACGGGTGATATCTTTTTATGAATCTGTTTTTAAAGAAACAAAGATAGCAGACAGTGCATTTGAAAGGTTTGTTTATTGTTGCACTTTTGTATGGCTGAGTGTAAGCCCTGGATTGCCTCAGTTTAAGGACAAAAGAAGAGTGCATGCATTTTGTTTTTCACTGGTTTATTTTCCATCTACTTTTTTCCAGCTCTGTCATAAGATGTTTTACCTCTTTTCCCCAAATAAACAGTTTCTTCTATAATTCAACATTTCCAAGATTCTTTATTTAAGTCAAGAGTTCAACTATTTACTCTTACACATGACACATAATTAAAATATCAAAAAATATCAAAAGAATGTTCTATATCTTTTTCATTTTAAACTTTTAGAACTTTTAGAAGACTCTCTCCGAGTTTGGGGATTCCTCAGGAAAGCGTACTCGGTCCACTTCTCTTACTCATGTTTATTAATGACCCCCACTAACTTTTAGTAAACACTGCATTTATTCAATTCAATTGACACCGTACAATTCAGCTTGAATTTAAAAAAAAATGTATCAACTATAACCTGAATTTTTATTTCCTGTTTTACATGGGACTGACAAATCTATAAAAGAAAAGATATTGCTTGTATCTTGATACTCACAGGAAATGTTTTCCATACCCACCCTTTCCTTGAGAATGTATACTTTCACATTAGTTTTCATCCCACTGGAATTGGTTAAAATCTTCATGCAGTTTTAAATTCCCATTGAATCACAGTTTGGTCTCTCACCACCACAGAACTTTGCCACTTTACAGGTAGTCTTTTCCCTAGGGCTATTTCACTTTTCTTTCATTTGTAATTCCTTAGAGCCAAGAAATAGTCAGAGCCCACAAAACCATAAACCGGTTCATGTTCATCTTTACACGACAGTTTGCAATGACAAAGCAAATGAAGACATTATGTGTTAGTTATGAAGCTTTAAAGGCTGTGCTCACTCCCATGATGCTTGATCTGAGCAGCTGGTGGCTGTAGTCTAAGATTCATTCAAAATGTTGAGGCAACTTCCTAAGGAAAGTCTTTCTGCTGTTCCCTGAAAATTGTTTAAGACATTTTAGAAACAAGTTGACATTACATCTTCTTTCACAATTTAAACATATTAATTATTTCTCAATATTCATAAGTCACAATGTAAGTATTCTCTTCTGTACAGTGTTCATCTGAGTCCTCTGAAATTGAACTAATTTAAATTAGTTTTAAAATTTCAAATGTTGCCATTTATTGCTTTTTTCAAAGCGTGATTGACACCTATCACTTTGGGATTCTTCCTGTTGTATCATTAGGCTATTTTATAATTGTATAATTCCTTACTATGTGGGTTCAAAGATAACTCACAAAACAACCATTTAAATTAAATGAACAGCTTGTAATGTTCCTTAACATTATCATATGCTGCCATTCACACCTAATCACAGGTAGTTCTACAAACGAGGGAACAACTAAAAATACAGGCTCTACTATGTAGTGCATTTTCATTCCTATGCAAGAAGGGGCACTTTGGACTCAAAGATGGATGATCTAAGATCAATAGGATTTTGAGCTTGTGAAATGAAAATAAATTAGACGCTTTGTAAACCTGTAAAAATCTGTGCAAAAATGTACAGGAAAATGTGTAATTATTTTGAAAATGGGTAAATAGATGATTCCACGTATTTCATCAATGGGAGGGAACACAAACAATAAGAACAAATAATAATGAGTACAGACTGTGTGAGAAACTCAGTGCTCCAACTTCCCACAGTGTGTGACACTGAATCCACATCCAACACTTCCCCATCAACGCAGTGCACAAAGGAAATCTGAAACCTAAAAGTGTGGCTTTTTTTAAGTTTCATCTTTGTTATAATGTATTGTTAGTGTATATTGGTTTAATATGCTGTTGTTTTTATACTAAAAGCAAAAACAGTATACTATAAAAGGTGACAACTTCAGTGTCATGTACAGGGTGGATGCATTGAGTTTCTCAATATATTTTCCTAACAAGAAACATTATATTTGAATTCAAAAGCTTGAATATCGTATTTAGTTTCCTCCTCCCATTTCACAAGTTGTAAATCTTATTTGACTTTATTTAAGCCCTATTTCAGTTTGCGTTTGGCAGGGCACTTTCGTAGCATGTCATTCACCTTGTTCATTTCTACATTTCCTGTTCTAACTCTAATGTCCCTGAATAATCGCAGACAGGATATACTTTAAACTGAATTGACAAGAGGTCAAAAAGCACCATAATGGTTTCAGGGCAGAAGTCACCACTGGTCATTTCTTTGTACTGTGTAACTGGTTGATTTTCTACACACGGTACATAAACCCCTTTACGTCCTCTACTCTGATCACAGACCACATGGTTCAAAATTCATATTGTGGGATTTCTTCAAGTGAGTGGTTTGGTCCTATAAAGTCAGTGATTAATCCTCTCCAGTTTCTAACCCACACAAACTCTAACATACACTGCTCTGCCTGATTATCTTCAGCTCAAAACTAAAATATTACTTAAGATTTTCTAAAAGAAAATAAGACATTCATTGCAACTTTACCAAAATGATTAACTTCCTGACAAAATCCTAAGGTTGAGATGAATCACTGAAGCAGAACGGCTTGCATGAATCCTTTTCTGCATGTTGGATTATCCCATCCAAGTTTCTTCCAAACATATAATCAGCACGATTAAGTTCATTATTTGTTTAGGCACAGAGAGATTGGCCACTGTCAACTCTTCTCATCTTCTTCAGTGTTTTCTGTACATTCACTGTCTACGCGCTTGGTGCTTAGCTGCTCTTCAAAGTTCAGAAATGTGTGGTTGCAATCCTTCTCCAACATTTTCTTCCAAATTTTCACTGGAAGGAGAAATACAAAAAGATAATTATTTGACTTTCAGCAGTGCATTCTGTTATTGTATTAAAAGGTCACCTATTATGCAAAATCCACTTTTTCATGTCTTTTATACATAAATATTAGGGCTGTCAGTCGATTAAAATATTTAAATCGCGATTAATCGCATGATGTCCATAGTTAATCGCGATTAATCGCACATTTTTTATCTGTTCTAAATGTACCTTAGAGGAATATTTTTTAAGTTTATAATACTCTTATCAACATATGAGTGGACAAATATGCTTTATGCAAATGTTTGTTTATTATCATTGGAACAATGACAAATATTCTCCTGAATATTCTCAACACAACAACCTGGAACCTCTCTCTTCTCTCTCTCTCCCAATCCTGTCTACTTCTTTGCTCTGAGCCAGTTGCTCAAACAGACAAGCCTGTTTACAGTTGTCGGCGAAATGCCGCTCCTCTGTCTTCAGAAGTTCCCACTGTGGGTCAAAATAATGCGCTGTGATGTGCAGTCGACACGTTGGATGCGATCCGAATTATCTAACGCAGCCCCTCGTCCTCCACAATGTTAAGCTGTAGCCACCCATTTAGCTATCGCTGTTGTTGTCCAGGCGTCTCCCCGGCAAACTTTCAAGCGTGGTCTGCCGCAAGCGAGCGGCAGGAGCGGGGCTGTCAGCATCAGCTGTGTGCTTGGCTTGCTGTTTAAAAACACCTTTTCTTGTATCCATATCTCTCGCTAGAATCTCCCACCATCCAACTAACAACAACAACGTCAAGCCTTTGGGCTCTGAAACTACGGGGCGGGCCGAGGACAAATGCACATGCGTTAATCGCACGTTAAAATAATTAGTGGCGTTAAAAAAAAATTGCGTTAACGCGTTATTAACGGGTTATTAACGCGTTAACTTGACAGCCCTAACAAATATGTGTTCCCTCTGTGTAAAGAGGTTCTGAAAGTTTCAGGAAAATATATTCTCTCTATTTTTGTCCCAATCCATTTATATAGAAACGTTCCACTTTGTGATGTCACAACTGTTTTTTGGCTTGTGTAACCATTAGCCAATAAAACAACCAAGGTAACACCCGCCAACCGTATCACCTGAATATCCTCCTAGAGTACCATTGTGTTTTTTTAACCAATCATCTCTCAGAGGGTAGTGGCCAGCAGCAGCTCAATTGCATTTAAAGCTACAGACAGAAGATCAGCACCTTTGAAACAGAGGGGATTATGGGATGCTACAATGCATGATCTGTTTGGTATTTCGAGCCAAACACTTCAGAGACATGTTTTGTATATATCTGAGCCCTCTAATACATTTTAGAAAAATAGTTTAGGGGACCTTTAAAGCTTTCACTTATTTTTACTTTGTTAGACCCATTCATATAAAGATGGCATCACAGCAGACACTTACTGTACTCCGGCTCCTCTGGCTGTGTGGGGTCAGGACTGGGCTCCGCCTCCTCAGCCGGGCTGCTGATCTGCAGCTCTTCCTCATTGTTCCCTGCCTCCTCTGCCTCTTCCTGGCCTGTCTGCTCCAGGCTTGACACCATCGTCTCATAGGCTTTCCTGGCCTCAGACGACAACTCTATCATCTTATGATAGAAGTCCTGTGGGTAAGAAAGTTTCAGCTTGTTAAAACAACTTTGTATATGCTTATTTTAAACAGCTTTAAGGCTCATTTCAAGGACATCTTTCTTTTAAGTGATAAGTACGCAGAACATGAATATAAACCCCACCTGTGCACCATCATAGTTGAAGATGCCCACCAGGCTGACAGGCACTGCCTTGTTGACGCAGCGACCCAAAGCTTTCCTGGAGAGGGCAAACACAAACGGCACCCCTTGTTCACGACAAGTGTCGATGATGGTGTAAAGAGCCTCGTCCAGGCCGCCTTTGGACTGGATGCGTTCACAGTTGGGTGAGATGACGACACACTTGACCTTCCTGAGTTTGAGGTGCTTCAGGACTTCTCTGAGCCCCATCACAATGCGTCTTTTCATGCGGGCCTTCATGGGGTCCTTCTGGTAAAGGCGGTCCTGGAATCGAACCAGCTCCTTCAGCAGAGTCGTTACACACTCATCCACGGTTTTGCTCAGCATCTGGTTGCAATAGCTGTACAACAAATATACAAGATAAATGTGAGACAAACAGTGATTCATTAAGTAATTGTGTGAGATCAAATGTTTTAGACAGAGAACAAACATAGTTTACAACTTGAGACTGGATGTGCAGGTTTCGGTCTTACTCTCTGAACTTCCTGCTGTGGATTTTGGGTCGACTGGGTTGGCAGGGCACAGGTGAGATGGGTTGTTGCTCTACAATCTCCTCTTTCTCCTCCTCTTCATCGCCCTCTTTCACCATTTGGCTTGTGCAGTTCATCTCTGACTGATCTTCAAGTTCTTCTGTAGGTGTAGGACTCCGGAGCTCACCTGCAGAAGCACAAAATACCAAATACATCAGTTATCAGCTGTAATCAAAGATCTAATGTTATGTGTTGTTTCTAATGCTTGATCTGACCTGGTACATTTGTGTCACACTGCTCTTCTTTTTCTGCATCACTGGTAGGTTTTAACTCATTTTCCGGCAGCAGCCCTCTCTCCTCCAGCAAACGCTTTTGTTTCCTCTCCTCTCTTTCTTTTAAAATGACCTGAATATAAGACAGAAATATAAGAGACAAAACAAAGGCTGAAATATCTGTGTTTGTTCCAGAGTCAGAGATTGACTTACCTTTTTAAGAGGAGTGGGTTTCTTGGCTTTTGGCACCTCTCTCTGCTTTCCTTTCTTCACCAAAGGGCTGGTGGAATCCAGGGGATTGTGTGCAATTTTATCCTGCTGCCAGGGAGGCTTTTTCTGGACTAATGGTTGCTTCTGGACAACTGGTAGTCCTCCACCAACTACAGAGAAATCATTTTATTTTACATGCCTTACACCAACAGATCAATAAGCATTGTCCCAGGAATGCAAGTGTAATCAAACAACATATACTTAAAATAGTATTTAACAGAGAGATAAAGAAAGAAAGAGAAATAGAAAGCCATTAAATTATAGTCCAAGATGCCCACCTGAGAGAACGAGTGGTTTGGCGTCCTGCTTGACCTTTTGAGATTGCCTCTTTTCCAAAGCGGCCAACATGTTTCCGATGTCCAGCTGAACAGGAACTTTGCTTTTCTTCCCAGACACCTTTTCAGCTTTCTAAAAATCAGGAGACCAAAAATCATCTCAACAATTTGTGTACTTCACTCTGCATCAGCCAATCAGATTGCTACTCCATCACTGCAAGCTGGACCAAGGTCCCCGAACACGGCACTTTTCTATGGTACATTACATTTTCACAATCAATTGATCAACATAAGTGTATAAATAAAATGTTCACAACACAATAGAAGTAAGACTTATGAAAACACTTAACATGGTTTGGCAAAATGGTGGAATGAGCTTTCCATTGACATCAGGACCGAAAGTCTACATATCCTGTGTCGAAACTGAAAACCCACTTTTTTTGCTTGTACAGTTTCCTTAAGGATACACACAGTTTGAAAACAATTCACACTTTTATTTGTGATAAAAATACCAACCTGTCCTTTCTTAGATGTCTCTGTTGGCTGAGATTTTCCAGCAGCTGATTTTTCCTTGGTTTGGTCAGCAGACTGATGCTGAACAATTTCTCTTTGGTTTTCCTTAAAAAGGAAAAGAAATAACACAATATGTGTTTTGCAAATGACTTCCAACTACAAAGCAAGGAATCTCTGTCTCTGTTGGTTAATCTCGGCTACTTTACACTTGGCAGGAGTTTTGCTGAGGACCCAAGGGCATGCGCTGTCCTGACTAGGTGAGCATTCAATATTGATCAACTACATTTTTAAATAAAAAAAGCTAATTCCGATTCTACTAATTAAATCCCTACATGCTCTAGTTGGTAGCTGCAGTATGAGCAAGCCCGTTGCCAATAGGGGGCTTAAGAGTTAGGGGCTTAGTTCTATTTTGTCCCCTCGGTTTATGCTTTTCTGGCTTTTCCTGAGACTCCAAACATGAACATATCAAACCGATCCTTGCGAATTGATTTTAAAAAGTAACTGATTACTTACAAAGCCCTGAGAGGCCTTGCACTAGTACTGCATCATTTTAAAAGACATGAACCTGTGGATTTTCCACCTATGTAATTTCATATTAGCAAAACCAGACAAAGACTCAGTGTTTTGATTATGTGAACCCATCTGGGAGAAGAAATAACTGATTTCTACCTCATTGCATAGTTTTGCTGCATAGCTGCTGGTTGTCAATCTATCTGCCCCAGTCAGAGCAGGAGTCAAGCCTGGGAACTCTTCCTCATCCTGAGAAGACAAAATGCAACAAAATCATCCTCCATCCTACACGTACACAAATATACTTAAAGGGCCCATGTCATGCTTTTCCGGTTATTACCCGTCCCCTTGTGTGTTATGAAGGTTTTTATGCATGTAAACGGTGTGCAGAGTCAAAACCCTCAAAGTACACCCTGTAGCGAGTAAAACTCTAACACAGAAAATACCTCCCCAAAACGCCTCGTTGGAGATACGTCATTGTCCATTTGATTCTTCCATTTCGTTCCGGGTACGGCATGATGTCATGCCGTACCCGGAACGAAATGGACCAATCCGTGGAGCCGTTACGTTACGTCCGCGAAGCCGTTACGTTAAGCCCCCGCTGATTGGTTCAAATTGACCAATCCACGGACTTCCTCGCACACACACACACACACTATGTGCAGGCAGCAGCTCAGCTGATTTCTCCTCCCTGGCTGCAGGCTGATAACAGGCAGTTGGGATCGCGGCGAAATTCTCTCTGCAGACCCATTCTCACAGCGTTTATCAACCTTTTTCTTACTCAATATCAAGCCACACTTATTGTTCTTACTTCGGCTGTGACTTTGTGTGTGCTCAAGATGAGTTTGGCTGTGTTTCGCTATGTATCCTAAACAAGGAAACAACACCTCCACGGAGCTCAGCGCGATTCAGAACGTCCCGACCAATCAGAGCACACTGTGCTCACAGGGAGGGTGGGGGCTGGAGCTATTGGAGCTACAACAAGCCGTTAAAGGCAGAGAGTGAAATTCAGTGAATACACGTAGTTTACAGAGATGCTGTATGAGAAACCAATGTGAGTTTGGAAAAATGCACAGTATAAATCTATTCTAGTAGACCTCAACAATGGAATTATGATCAGTGGAAATGGCCATGACATGGGCCCTTTAAATATATTATATATAGAAAAAGAGACATCATTTTCATTTACCTCAAATTTGGGAGGTGCCTGATACATTGCTGGCTCTTCGGCCTCAGCTTCTGCATCTTCACCAGCACCTTTAGACTTCTTCTTCTTTTTCTTTCTCTTTTTCTTCCCTGGAGCTCCCTCTTCCTGCTGTGCAGTCATTTCTTCCGTCTGAAGAGAAGGGACAGAAAACAATGTTGCACAAGGGACTGCAGAAAAACCCAGATAATTACCTGACAAAGACATGTAATACTTAAAAGGTACTGACACCTTTAACAGAATAAAAAGCCATTTATCAGGCAAGAAAGATCAAGTTCAAATACTTTTAAAACTAAATAAAACAATTTTTAAGACTTTTCAAAATCTGCAACACCCTGTAAAAATCAATATCCTAGGCTGAATTCAAATATAAATGTAATCTAACCTGCATGTGGTTGCTGTTGATGGTCTTCTCTTTAGGAACAGGTTTCTTTGGAGGCTGAGAGGCAACATTAGCCCAGGAGGTTACCTCAGGCTGACCTGCTCACAGAAATAAACACATAGATGAAATGAAATATAACTGACACTGCCTTATAGTCATTGAAAGGCTGACTACGGGTACTTTCTCTTACCTGTTGACATAGCTGATGAATCTGGCTTAGCATTGGTGTACATTTTTCGGGGGTCAGTCTGTGTTGGGGATTCTTTCCTGGCAGACTATTCAATAGAAAATTACAGTAACACCAAATGTATGAGTAGAACTCTACGTTTGTGGAGCATTCAGTGCGAACTGCACAACATCACATTTCATTTCACACCTTCCATGAAGATGCTGATGTTTGTGTTTGTGGGCTCAGGGTTGGAGGAGGAGTTAGACCCCAGCCTTCTCTTGAAGCAATCGGAGGGCCCGGTTTGCCCATCGGACCCCCAGCTAACTCTGGGAAGTCAGTCATCTTCACTTCAAATGGGGCCAAGTCTTCCTTTGCTGGTTTGGACTTCCCTTCAGAGTTTGGGGCAGACCTGGCACTTCTAAAACCTAAAAGGTGCAATAACAAGCAAAGTTTAATAAACATTATTACAATTATTCAGGAATAATTCAACAAAGCCATGGGTGATGCCTAGTACCTTTTTTCTGGGCTTCCAGTGAGTTCTTGCCCAGAAATCTGGCTTGCGCAGGGAAGCCAATGTTGCCTTTTGATGTCTGTGAAGTTGGAAAAAAATCGCTGAAATTACTTTCACAAAGAATTCTTTTTCCTGTAAAATGATAGAGGTTCAAATTAAACTAACCTTTGCTTGTGCATCCTGTGTGGACCTTTCTCTCTGCAGGACATCCTCCCTGGTGTCTTTAACTCGACGGCTGCTGCTGTAGCCATGAATTCTTGACACGCCTACTACTTTTCCCTCTGCTGTTGCTCCATTTGTATTTGATGGATTCTGCTTCTGGCTCTGACCTGACGACCAGTTCCTTAACAAAGTTTGGATATTTACACAAATAAGGGGCTAGAGGTCGGTCTATGAATTCCCTTTTTCTTTGTTTTGTTTCATTTTTCCACAAGGAGACAAATACCTTTTGTCAGTTTGTGTATGCTCGTTGAAGGCTATTATAATTACATTTTCACAATCAATTGATCAACATAAGTGTATAAATAAAATGTTCACAACACAATAGAAGTAAGACTTAAAATGGTCTGGCTAATGAAAGCTTAAGTACTTGCAGAATTCTTATGGTTCTGAGTTTGTGTCTTCATGTTTCATTGCAGTTTTTGTTAGTCACTTTGGATAAAAGCATAATCTAAATGAAAAGCAATGTAAAGACTATCCCTTATCATACATCCAGTATTGCAATCTTTTTAGAAACAAATCCTGATACAGATTTAAGAGAACAGTTGACTTTATTTCAGTTGACTGTCGGTCTGTTACTATCTTTGAAAGACCTTTGACTACTTGCACTAATAAAACAAACACCATGCACAAACAATAAAGACACACCAAAAAGTGATTGATTGCCCAAATCAAGATATTAAAACAAAATCTCTGATCATACGCCTACCCTCTTAAACTCTGTTCGGACACATAAGGATTTGGCAGCATTAGAGGTGGGGATGAGGCTGTGTGTGGCTCTGCAGGATCCTTTCTCTGTCTCCACTGCTGCCTCAAGTCAGGAGACTGCAGGGCAGCAGATGACAGTTTGCTCTCCTGGGAAAAATAAAGATTGTCAACAGTCTGCTGGAATACGACCTTTGGCTAGTTATTCAAGTGAAGCCTTGTATTGCCACACTTATATCAAAACTACTAGATCACTTTAGACACACACTTCTCTCAGACTAAATAGTTGGTTAGTCTCAACTTTTGTTTCTAGTTCAGTTAAAGATTAAACTATTTAGCCGCGTTAGCTCAAATCAACATCTAGGTTAGCTAACGTGACATAGACCTAACTTTTGAGTATACTTTCAAAGCTAAATGCATTACAAAAAGTCTTAAAAAACAGCATATTGATCTGGTAATATGGCTGTTAACTTAAAGTAACATCTACACAACCACTTAAGTTATCCAAAAGTTAGCAGTTAGCTACACACGACAGCGTTTTTTAGCGTTACTGGCTAACTTGCTAGCTAAAAAACAATCGTAACGTTATTTCTGGTAAACTACCTTGTCCATATTCGGATTTTCCTATATGTAGTCACATATCCGCATGTTCACTCTGTCTGACTTCCACGTGTTGTCAGGCTCCCTGTCACAACGCTGCTGCGTTTATAACTACTTCAACAGTGTGTAAGCTCTACGGGCTAACAACCTGTTTCATAGCATAGCATAGCAGCTAGCTTAGTTCAGCCTGAAACTGCTGATGAGTGTGTGTGCAGTGAGGAGAGCTAACAGCGACATCTTCTGGTTTACATCCCAACTAACACATCTTCAGAAGCTCCAAACAACATTAACTATAATAATATCTACAAATAATAATATATTAAGAGTATGAATAAAACAATATTGTGTCACCATTTAACTAGTTTGAATAAAGAAAGCACAAATAACACTGAGTCAAGACTTTAGCCAGTTGTGATAACATAAAGCGCTGTCAAATTGATGATGGAAATACAAAATCAGTAGTACCACAAGTGGTTACCAAACAGTGTCACAGCTCTCTGTCAATCAGATGCATGTGTGTTTTTAATATCTTTGCATCCTTGATGACATTTTATATTGAATTATACTGTTGTATTTGGTAGTCTTTTCTGTTCCCTCGTATTATGTGTTATTGATGCCATTATTTAACCATATCATCAGTCGGGTTTACATTGTTAACATACATTTGGTAACTCTGCTGCTATTTATCACTACTCTCACTTGAACAATACCACTGTTAACCTTGACATATTTTTCTTGATATGTCCTTGTTTAGTTTAAATCTTAGATATATGTTTTGGAATAACAATATGTTGTCAAGTTATAGTGTAAAGAAGCAAAACATGAAAATACTAAATGAAAGTTTATTAAAAACATTTTTGTGCAATCTTTAAGTGTGATAAAATATATATCCAAAACAATAAGAAAAACATAAAATAATTAAACTTTAAACTAAAGTAAAATGCTGCTTGTGAATTCTTAAAAAATGCATTATAAAAAAATATCTACAAGCATAGTTGTTCTCTGTAACCCACGCTATCCCATACATGTGCACATTAAAAAGGTAAAATGTAATTTGTTTAATATTAGCACTTGGTTTTTGGCATCTGCATCATGAAAGATTTATTTCATGTGAGGATACTTTGCAAACAGTGCAAAGGGTATACATCTCATTATTATGTTTGTATGTATCAGAGTAAGACATTAATGCTTTTTCTCCCAGCAGATGTAAACATTATAACATTAATTCAAACACAAAAAATGTCTGCAATCAGTCTTTCACTCCTCCTTTAGCCTGCTGGCTGTTCTCAGGAGAGCCAGAGGAATAATGAAAGAGGCCGATGTAAGGAGAAAGCAGATCTGAGCTCCAGCTATCCAGTATACTGTGAAGAAAAACACAACAGTTATTATAAGTACACTGCAAAGAGCTTATTTTACAAGGCAAACATATTCATACACAGTGCACACATACAGTAGGAACAATATGTCATATTTTGGATTTTAGCAGCATTTGTTGCCATTGCTGTCTTACTTACCAGAGGATGATACAACTGGTCCCAGTGCTCTGGCCAGAGCGCCCAAACTTCGCAGAATCCCCATCACTGTGCCCTTCTGATTGGCTGACCCTGTAGATTCATCCACAGTAGATAATCAGCAACATTGTGGACATTATAGTTGAATTGAAATAGTTTGTACGTTTTCATAAATATAAAATAATTAAGATGCTAACCGTGGTCAGAAACAAGCGTAGACAGGCATGGAACAACTATTGCAGCCGCTGTTACAAAAGTAAATTACATTAGATGTAAACACAGGGTACATCAATATTGATATATTGAACAGTATTCTTTTTGTGTGAATTTGATTAAAAAGGTGTAGTTTATCTATGTTCACTGTTGAAAAGTCTTACTTTTTTGCTATGTGGTTTGGTATTATATTTTCATTTTCTCATTTATTTCAAATTGTAAATCTACTTACAGTTCATGTATTAAACAATTTTTTATCAATTATATTTCACAAATTCCCTACATTCCTAGGTCTAACTAGTCTGAACATGACACAAAATGAAAAATGAGCTCACCAAATGAGTATAACGCCAATCCAACATAAAGCATTGTAATATTCCATGAGAGCCCAATGAGGATAAACGCTGGGATTAATGCAATGATTGCCTAAAAGAAGAAAAAAAAGTTAATTAAAGAACTGTGGTTTATCATGTATTTGCAGCAATGTAAAGAGTATTTTATTGTGCAGCTATTTGTCATGTAAACAGAAGGAACTCCTACCACTTGAACAGCCCGGATATGCTGCCCAGGTTTGATTCTGCGAGCATAACCCCCCTGTATGGAGGCCATGATGACACCGATGAAGAAGAACATCTTTCCCTGCTGCATACTTGAAAAAGTAAGAACACAGGTTGTACAGCTTTTTAAGTGTAACATTCAAGCGCTTTTAAGGAACCTAAACCAAAAAAAGCCCAGATTCTGGAAACCTTGATTGATAGCAAAAATGGTATAGCGAATATTGTACTTATAATATATAATTCCTCTATAGGTTCAAATGTTCAAAGGGCTTTTTTGTCATGAAAAAAATTGTATTGCAAATATATATATATATGTACATAATTCCTCTATAATCGAAGCAAACAATGTATATTGTCTCTACTACTAGTGTGAGATGCCGTAACAAACAAATATGATGATGGGATTGTTTGATAAAAATACTTTTGGTTTGTGTGAATCAAACACTACATGATCTTGAACAATTAAGCATTTTTCCAGGAGTAAATGTGTATTAAAGCATACTCCTAACCTCGAAGACATATAAGTTCAATTAATTCCCTAAACTTTTAAGACTTTGTATGAACCTTGTAACAGGGTTGCTGTTCAGGTGTGTTTACTGTTACTGAGGGAGGCCAAAGCTTTATCTTTGAGTTCATACCTTGTAAAGTGGAAGCGTTGGTGAGTCAGAAAACTCAGAGTGAACTCCAGACCAGAGAACAGGAAGAGGTAGCAGAAATAAACCAGACCCAACGCTTGAAGTTTCTGCATTCCTGTAAAGACATTTCCACCTTTTATCCATCAATGGGCCAAAGTTCATCCATGCATTATAAATTGGTCAAATAAGTGTAAGCTTTTGCCTCACAGAGGAATCCAGTCTGTGCTGCACTCACTTTGTTTTGGAGGTGGATCTTTTGTTCTGCTAACAGCTGAAAAATGGAACAACGATAACGGGTTGAGAAAGTCACTGGAGTCCCCAAACTTAGAAGATGAAGCCTAGGATGCAAACAGAAAAACCAAAAGATACTTTATACATATTTGTTAGAGAGTGTACTTTAAAAAAAATATATTTTATTTATAAATATTGTATGTTTTCAAGCTCCAAAATGCCCACACATAGCTTTTAAATTATGTTGCCTTGTTTTTTCTTCTGTGTGGGCTTGTACAAACTGTACTTGATTGACAGCTCTGTCAGTGTTTCCTTTATCTTTGTAGTACTTTTTAGTGCAAGACAATGTACACTGTCATTGTTCTTAGCTCATAAAGTTTGGCAACACCAGGTAATTCCAAGCATACCTACACCCAGCGTCAGACTGACAAGACGTCTAAATACAAATCACTTCCTGGAGTCTATTTAAGAAGTTCCAAGAAGTAGTCTGGCATTACCCAACATCAATGTGACGTTTTTACAAGTTTTTGCACGGATTAAACAAATAAGTTAATTAGTGAGCCCTAGAGAGCCAACATTTTTTTAACTTTGGATAAAAGCCAGACAAGCTGTTATCTCCTGCGTACAGACTTTTTGCTAAGCTATGAAGAGATATAACAACAATAGAACGCGTAGTTCCTGTGTCTGGCTAAGTTTGTCACTTGGCTGAGTGAATGTTTCCAAAATGTTTTCATAACCAACCTTGGCATCCTTTGTGAGCGTCTCTGGCATCATGACCCAAATAAAGAGCAGGTCAGCAACACTGAAGGCCAAGGCGAGCAGAGCTGGAGTTTGGTAGAAGACATTTCCCGTTGTTCTGGAGCGGAGGGCAAAGTAGGCTCCCATCAACGGGCCCACAGTGAAGCCTAGGGAGAAGGCGATGCCGATCATAGCCTGGTGAGGATACAAATAAAGTTAGATTAAGGACATTTACCTGATCATCCAACAGATAAATAGACAGCAAGAGTGGATATTCAGCAACTTCATGTCCACTAGCGAAATGTTGGAGTCAGAGCCCTGGTTAAAGATTCAAATCAAAACTAGCAGTACTTTCACACATCTAGCAAAAGATCGAGCATGCATTCAATCACATTATGTAGTTTTAAGATATCATATTATTACAATAAATTTCCTGTTATGGACAAAGAAAGTCTGTGCTTACCATTCCTCTGTTCCGTGCTTTTGGGCAAGGCAAGTCTGCAACGATGGCAGTGCAGAGGCTGACGTTGCCCTTACAAATGCCACCAATTACTCGAAACAAAAGGAACATGCTGAAGCTCCGGGAAACGGCCCAGACCGCATAGGAGGACATCAGCCCCAACTGGAACACAAGGAACCCAATTAGACCTTGTTGAATCACAGCGGATGGAAAAGGCTGCATGGTTTCTTCTTCACAAATGAAGTGTGAGTAGTGCCAAGTGAATGATTCTAGTTGTATCCAATGTGGAGGGATACTTATATATAGAAGTTATTAAAAAAGGTATAATATGTCGTTTTACTCACTGTGGTAAGAATGAGCAGGGGCCGCCTGCCATAACGGTCGGACAGGGCTCCGGTTACAGGTGATGACAGGAACTGCAGCAGTGAGAACAGCGACCCTATCAGACCTGAAATTCATCAAGGAGCACGTAATTAATTAACTCTCTTTGCATAAATAATATTTGTATTGTTTATAGTGTCATAAAAGATAGAGCTCCACATAGGCTAGGTATACCTCCAAACAGGACACTGTTGTATTTTTCTTCCATAGGGATCCCCAAGGCCTCCCTAAACAAGTCCACAAGACTCTGCAGAGACTGATATACGCCATCCTGTCCAACAAGTCGAGGAAAATACAACATCACACAGGAGAATAATAACAGAGGTCCACTCAGCATGAGTCAGCACACAGACACTCACACACGCAGCCAATGGCTGATAATCTAACAACTCCTGAGTTGGTTTTCATGGATCATATTCTTCACATAAGGCTTCCTTTGTTCACTTCTGCACATCATCTGGCCAAAATACAACACTCAAAATCATTTTTTAACCACAGTAGAATCAGTTTCTAAAGTTTGAAACTATAAACACTGTCACGCCGGTGAAACTGATCTTGCTCCGGGGCCAGCGCTTATTGTCTGGCATCCATACCCTCTAAACTATTCTGGGATTCAAACTTACAAAAAAATAATTGTCATGTGATAATGATATCTCTAATCTTCAGGAAATCAATTACACTTAAGAAGTAAGAAAGCAAGACTAGTAACTCTGATCGGCTCGGGGATTGTCTGTTAAAAGTAACTATTAGAAGGTTTATCCTGATTTCAAATGTTTTCTTATTAGATTTCTACAACAGTTGTTGATAACTCTTTATATATGTTTTGCTTATTTTATTGTGGCCCACTTAACATATTACCGAAAGGTTTACCATATGTTTTCACATTTGTTACTCTTTTTTACCCAATTTGATCATAAGCCTACTACATTCTGTTCTAGTTAATATATTATCAAAATGGTTGCCTTTTATTTTTCAACTCTAATATTATCTCTGATATTAATGAGCCAACACATTTCAAAAGCACATTTGGAGTCAGCAGACTGCTGTAACAGTACCTTGTAGGGGTTATATATTGAAATAAAGCAAGCAAAACTAACCCCGGTTTGTGCATAATGGTCTAAAATGGATGGTAGTAGAGGTAGAATCAGTGTAAATCCCAGCAGGTCCAACAGCAGTGTGATAAACACAATGTTTATGACCTTCGAGGAGAAGGCTCCACCATCCTCTGCAGATTTGTTTATCCCTGACATTCCTCAGACTGAAGTCGGTGTCCTTACTGGTTCTGTTCACAAGTAAAACACATATGGTATTCATTAGAAGAGCTGCACTGACATGAAAATTAAATCATAGTAAATTCAATTTTCAAAGCATGCCAACAGATCTGCATTTGTATCCCAAAGAACAAGTTAAAAGCAGAAGTATCACAATTACTACACACAGACAGATCTCACAGGTCTGTTATTTCCTAATAACTTCAATGAGAGCTTCCTCCAAAAAAAACGTACATTTCCTCAAAAGACCTGCTTCGTTTAAGACCCCGTAAAACTTTCAATCACTTACAAATCATTATTGGACATTTTATTCTCAAAATATTTAGATTTTAGAGACAGTTTTTAAAATAAGTATTCAATTGTTTTTTTTAATACACATTGTCACTTTTTGCTTAATGAAGCAAAATAGCAATAATAACAAAAACACAACATTTATATTTCTACATTAATATGCACTATAATCTAATCTAAATTACAAGCAACACAGTTGACACACCTTTTTACAATTGTGCATGTCCAAAATAGATTTGAATTATTAGTAGTACTAAAAGTGAATCAACTAAACATAGTCTCAATTTTCTCTATAATGTATTAGCAGCACACTGCATCGTTCAGTCCTGGAAAAGTCCTCTTTACAGTATGTCAGTTAGTGTTTAGTAAATATACGTTAACCAGGCACATGTAAACTGAAGCACTAACAAAGGCAGTAGACTGGCATCAAGATAAAGGGATACATTTTAGTGGAAAAATGAACAGGTGAGAAGTTTAATTCCAAGTGCAGCATGACAGCGAAAATGTGAAAGTTTTCAATATGGCAAAGTGACTCAGATATGCCATATGTAAGTAGCTAGATGTTTACAAAAGTAGATGTGCCTTGAATGTTGCAATCTATAGTCTTTACTACTTCTTACAGTAACTCATCAGGAAAGAGAGACACAAGGTGTAGCTCAAGCAGGAAGGAAAATGCTCGGATCAAAGTTTTTCTCAGTTTATAACTCCTCAGTAAATGCACACATGCAAAGATTATATTAACTACAATAAGTCCAACAACTATAGCTCCAATAACTTAAATCAGATGTCCTACAAGTGGTTGCCTCCGCAGTTATGTTCTGATATCGATCCGCACCTACCAGCATCACCTCTCCTCGGACAGGCAGTGTATTTAACAAAGACCACAGAAACATTTGAACAGCTTCTATACTTACACTACCGCCGCAGATCACACCAAGACCTGTCTACTCTTTCTCACCAGTCCATTTTTATAAGTCCACACCAGGAAGCTGGCTCCTCTTTCATTTGGATGACAAGAATGTGTCGTAACCATATGCAGAAGAAAATGATGCCTTCACGTGTTCCTCGTAAACTCGTATTTCCGCGATGCGCACTCTTTCGTGTGGCAGAGGTGGACTAAAAGCTAATCTACTTACCCACCGTAGGCTACTGGTTTGGAAACCCATTTCCGCTAACGAGAAGGAAACAATGTCCTGTATGTCATTTGAACGAGAAACTATTTTTAAAAAAGAATCACAAAATCCTAAGAAACTCCATATTTGTCTTTTAATCTCAATGTTTTGTATTAGTATAGCATCTTATTAGTTCATTATTACGACTCGATATTTCAATATTACGATTTACCTGTCATGGTCCCGTACAACTAATGCGAGTCTCCTCCGCGTATGGGGAGCCCTGCGCAACCTGAAGGCATCACCATGATTCTTCTTTTATTTGTATTTTAAGAAAGTATATGGTAAGGGGTTATACTACACAACAAAATCAAAACAGTTAAAATACACAAACAACAATCCACAAATAATAAAAATAATGAATTGTTAAAAAAAAGAAAAATAATTAGTTAACCAGATAACCCTATTAATACTCATCTAATCTGCATAAGGGGCATTTTTCACGTTGTGTTGTGTACCTTATGACATTAGCTCAGTTTAAATAATTGTTTTGTTTAGAAAACATAAAAAAAAAAATTAATTCATGCCTTGCTCTTTTCACACTGATTTCTTGATCTTCTAAAGTAATACATCAAGCATTTACAGAACCGTCTGATCTGTTCTCTTCCAGTGTTTATCTGCTCTCATGGTTTTAGTTTGTTTAACGAAAAAAATCTAAAACACAAATGAAAGCTTTAAGTTCTAAAAAAGTAGAAAGAACAAATGTTTTGTTTCAATAAAACAAGATGATGATTTCTCTATTTTCATTTATATCAACCAAGTGAAGCTTCGCATCATTCACAATTCATTTATAATATCATAATCGTTTACCTTTAAGGTCCCACTTTTTACATTGTGCCTATTTTAACTATTTTACAGTGTTTGGTACTTGAATCTACAGCAATGCATCATATTCTACATGAGCATTTTTATGTAGCGTTGTTGCTGTCCTCAGAGAACCACGTTTCTCAATATTTCAAGTTTCTCAGGAAAACAGCTGTGTTCTGCTTTGTGACTATGATTCATTCAGCTGATCCAAGAGGCTTTAAAAAAAAGTTTATTTAGCATAAGAAGAAGTAGAATTATCACAACACATATCATTCTGTTCATCACAAACATTCAAAATCAATACATCTGGATTTACATGATTTTCACTGAAAAGGAAACTATTGTAATCCTGAAGGTAACTAAAGCGGTCAGACAAAGTTAGTGTCCATGGAATATTTGCCTCTGTTGAGTAAAATTATGAAGTTGCATTGAATAAAAAAAACCTAAATACAGTATTGAGGAAATGCAATTGGTTATAATCCAGTTGTGTTACTGATGCTGAATGAAAATAAGTTGCCTGACAGATAACAACAGCTCTTCCTGGTATCAAATACCCAACAGCACCTGAATGCAGCACCAGCATTTTCACAATCAATGGTTTTGAGGTTGGTCTAGCAGTTCTTCATACTGAACATAAATGTTCCATATGTAACAAAAGTTCACAGTGTAAATATTGTTGTTATAACAGCAGGAATAATTAAAAAAAGAAGAAACAAGGATCTTCGCATGAGTTATTCATGCATATCCATTAATGTCTTTTTGACAAAGCGTCACACTTTATACATCCACCATCTTAGCTCCAAAGTTTGATTTGCTTAATCACACAAATTAAAATAAGCATAAGCATAACAGCTGTACCAAATAAAACATTTAATTATAAAAAAGGTTAAAATCTATAAAACATGTATATGTTACCTGGTTAAACAGATAACAGAGTAACAGAGTAGAGGACGGATGATGAAAACAAATCTAGATCCACATGGAGAAAATCAAGGGTGAACGCCTCTCGTTACTGAAACAAAAAACATTATATTCCATGTCGAAGGATGTGACGCTGCAGCTCAGAGCTGTTCATGAGGTTTCGTCCACACAACTGGCAGGTAAATGGCTGCTCCTCTGTGGCTGCTGGGCAAAGAGCGTCAGCATCTCCCCCTGTGAGTGCATCTAAAGGAAAACAGAAATAATTCAGCTGGTGTAACATGCAGTTTCCAAAACCTAATTAAGGCTGCTAACTAACAATTAAATGTGTTGTTCCGCCATGAAACGATTAATTATTTAGTCTAAAACGTCCAGAAAATAGCGACAATAAATATTTTCAGGATGATAAGATGACTTTCATGTTTTGGCAGTCAAACAGTAAAAGGTTATCATCAAACAGAGACCCTACAAATGTTTAACATTTTTGCATGAGAGCATACATGACTGAAAATCAAAATCACAGAAAAAGACAGGCATACTTTTCACATTAAGTATTTAGTTGCTTCCACTGTGATCATTTGAGGCCTTTCTGTTTTACGAAACACCTTCTGACTGTTGGTCAAACAAAACAGGATGAAGATGTGTCTTCATACTAAATAAACAAGGTATCAATATAATCAGCTGGTTAAAAGATAATGACAATAAACGTTTTTTGTTGGGCCCCTTTCACTCAGGCAGTGAAAAAGTTAGGCATCCAGACTGAGAACAGACTTGCAATGAAAGCAATGAGGGCAGCAGTGTTGTTATGTTTTTCTTAGCTCTGCAACAACTCATCTGTAAATGTTTAGAATTGTATATTTGTACTCAATGTGATCAGTATCTTACCTTTGGGCACATAAGGATCTTCCTTCCTCCCGTCACCCTGCTCATCCTCGCATCGGTTCTCATCGTCAGCGATCGTCTCATCTGTTTTGTCCTGCTTTTGCTGAAGATGGTCACTCTGATCTTTCGCCTTGAAACAACCAAGAGGCTGCTTTTCTTCTTTGAGATATTCCTTCTCGAGTACTGGCATGTCCCCGTAAGGGTCTCTCACTTCCACAATGTTTTTGTGCACCTGTTGGTTTTTGTAGTTGGTCAGTGAGACATCTAAGCTTTCCTTATTGCTTATCTTGAGCTGTTCACACTTGGGCGACACAATACAAACGGCTGAAATTGCCTCTGCATTAGTTTGATTTTGTGGGTCATTTGCCAGAGATTTGCCACTTTTTTCACCCAGCAATACTGTCTCCCTTTGAACTTTATCTACAACCTCGGACTCAGTGTTCTCATCCGTCTTTGTCGTTCTATTCTCATCTGCCTTCGTACAGGTAGATCCAAATGCTTTTTCTTGAGGAGCCTCATTATGCGGCTTACAGTCCTGTGTTTTTGCGGGAATCTTAGCATATTTTGTTGAGCTCCCCAGTGTCATCAGCTCTTTTAGTTGCCTGAACATTGTGCAGTTGTCTTCACTTTCTCCAAGTACCGGTTGGGCCGGCGAGAACACTACTGCCTCGGTCTGTGGTTTCACTTCGTCCCTCACCTCATTTTCTGTCAGTTCCTCAACTTGTGTCTTATGCGGACCTTCATTACTGCCAGTTACACACTCATCTGTTTCTGCATCATCGCTTTCGTTGCTTTGATGCTCCAAGTTAGACGAAGGTTCTTGTTCCTCTTCTGGCATCTTCCCAACCCTTGCCTGTAGCTGATCGAGGCTGACCTGACCCACAAGCTCGTGGTTCCTCACAACCTGCAAAAAAGCAAAACCCATAAAGATCAAACTTCAAATTAACAAGAATCCACATTGCACATTTGAAACCAGTTTTCTTTTTATGTTATTGCTGTTTGTGGGCTCTCCACTGGGAATCTACTATTGTGTTGTTTGTTTCGAGGTGGTTGTTATTTTCTGTCTTGTTTTTTAATTGTTTGTCTGATGTTTTATTGACTGTAAACAAAGCGTATGGATTGGATTCACAAAAACAGATCTTTTATCTCATTAACCTGTGCATCACTAGTGGCTTCCACCCAGGGACTACAGATTCAACTTTAATTTAGTTTCTTGGCCGTCATTTCGCGTTTACTACTCGCTGCTCGGGTCCTGTTGCTCCCTGTGTGCTTTAAGTAAGGTCTGAGATTTCTTACATTAGGTTTTTCATTATCCTCCAATTTATTAATAGATGTGTTTTTCCTGTTTCTTACACGGGACCAAGGATTTAAAGTAGCTTATTGTTTACTCTAGTCCAGCTAAGAAGCCTGTCAAAAGGACAGAGTTGTATAATGTAAAAACCCCTTATGAAAATAAGTTATATTGAGCTATATAAATAAAATATGACCCGACTTGCCATTTGCACTGCTTGACGTATAGGTCCTTGCAACAAACTTTTATTTGGTCAAGTAGGGGCCGATGTGTCAAACCTGCAACAACTTCTTAAACCGCCTAATCGTTAAATTAGTAACTTTTATTTACTACAATACATTTCTACAATGGCAACTGAAAATGTGAAACAAAGAAGCTGTCTGTGATGCGCATTACTTTTGCCAAATTCCAGTACATTGAAAGTGTATCATTTACAATTCCATCACACAGAAAGGAATCCCAGTGATGCATTGAAGCCTTTAGTAACAAATCCTCACCTGATGCTTATCACTCAGGTGCGCCTCGAGGTCGCTCAGCTGAGTGCAGTCAAAGTAGCACAGCCGACACTTGTAGGGTTTGATGTCATCGTGCCTCGTCATGTGCAGATTCAAGTTTTCAGCACTTCCGCTCGTGAAAGTGCATTTGTGACAGCGGAAGACGATGCCTTGAAGGCAACGAGACAGCTTCGAGCGACACACTTCAATTGGCACAACACGTTCCTCTATAAAGAAAAGAAACAAAGACTGAACATAACGTCATGGATTACGATATCAGGGGGTGGGACACCGAATCCTGACGGGCATCTAACCTACCACGATGCAAGATGATGTGATCGATCATGTTATTCTTATTCTTGGTCTGGTACAGGCAGAAAGGGCAGCGCAGGTCTTTGTCATGAGTAGGTTGTGATTGGCATGTAGAGTGGCCCCTCTCCATGTGCATCTCAAAAGTTTTCCTAATAGAAAAAAACAACAGTAGTTTTTACAATGAAAGACGCATTCTCTTTTGAATATTAAAAAAACGTCTCACGGTGATTGCAACTTACTTTACACCTGTGAAGAACTCGCAGTCCTTACACCTGAAGATCTTCTTTCCATGGCGATTTACGTAGTGACGTCCTATACTAGACCGGTGTTCAGTGTTGAAATTGCAGAACTCACAGTGAAGAAGACTGTTGTCAGGTAACATGGCTTCTTGCTTATGTGTTGTGGACAGGGCATTAGTCTTTGCCATTGAACTATAGTGGTTCAACTGGCGCTGCACATCTGGAGGCTCCAAGTAAAGCGACTCTGTCAAAGCACAATAAATCACTCTTATAGCCACTAATGCAAAAAACTAAGTATGAAATAAACATTTTACCAGCTACATATTTGTGATTTATTGAAAATAAAACAGATGACTTACTTTTAGTAATTTCAGGTTTTTCATCACTTTCAGGCCAATAGTTCAATTCCTCTGATGAACTTAAGAGCTCCTTGCCAGTCATCTGAGCGCTCTCCTCTTCTTCATTATCACTCTCATCAGAATCCAGTAGGCCACCTGAGCAGCGGTACAAACATGGAATGAAAGTCAGAAAAATGTGCAATATCACAGTGTATACGAACTGTGTAAGGTTTGAGTAAAGGTAAATAATGACATTCAGGCTACACTTTCTGGTAAACGTGTAGCCTGAAAAAGCTTGCATGGAAAATTCATGTAATTTAAAATTGTCCTTGTATTGCTGATAATAAAATATATATATCAGGAGGTATAGGACGCATCACATCAATATGAGATCTTTACCAGTTCATTGAATGTTTGCTAATGGTGCGTAATTTGCACGTTACTCACCTTTATGTATTTTCATAAAATGACTCCTCCACAGGCCCATGACAGTGGTCCGATAGGGACAGAAGCTACAGAGGAAAGGCCTCACGGTCCCAGCTTTGAACTGAACATATTTGTTAATGCTGTTAAGAGGATGAAAAAATGTCAGATCAGTCAGATATTATCAGTCAGCTTATAAATAGGTAAATCTGTCTAAGGGGATCTGGACATCACATTAGTGTATGTGACATTTAAAACCTTTGCATTTAAAATACTAATAATGCCGTCTGAACAATACTGTGATAATGTACTATTTGAATATGTGCAAGTGAACCCAAATGGAGAGGTCATATATCTATTTTAGAGTGTAAGCTACATTTTTGTTAACACTACATTCCCTAATAACAAACAGCTGAAGTTTTTCCTACCCGTGTTTTAATAATGACGCAGGCAGATGATCCCGCTTCTTGATGGCTGCCACAGCTGCATGGCTGCGCTCATGCGAACGCAAACCTTTCAGTGACATGAAAGTCCGCCGACACAGTTTGCAGGCGTGTTCACTTGATTCCATCTGCGGCATCTCTACATCAGCCTGGTTTGGAGATGGCGACAGAGGACTCTGTGGCAAAGTCAAAGTCTGTACTGGCCTCACGTTCCACTGGGCCAGGTCCTCCACAGGTTCTAACATGAGAAGATTATCTTGCCCACCAAGCTGAAAATTAAACCCAGTTGTTAACAAATTGGAACTGAAGCATGTAGCAAAGGATAAAAAATGGAAATATTTGCAAGGAACTTACTTTGAGGGATTTGGCCTCTGGTGTTGTCATAGTGTCAGGTGATGTTTTCTTTGAAGGCTTTGCCCTCATTTTGGCCCTCTCTCTGTGGCAATCCAGGTGGTACCACAGCTTCCTAGTTCCATTCATCAGTTTGTTGCAGTGCACACACCTGTAGAGACCTGTGCTGCCCTTCTTTGTTCCTTGTGATAGCACAATGAAGTCTAGGCAATCTGAGCTATGAAAAGTATCATAGTGGGCTAGAAGCAGCTGAGGTGAGAGAAACGTCAACTCTGGACACTTCTTACATTCGGTGGGTGTAGGTTCTTCAGATTCAGCTACAGGTAGAATGCTGGCATTGCTGATTGTACAGTTATATTTCTCTAGCAGCTTGTGTGTGGTAAGTGGATCATATTTGTGACGTTTTTTGTAGTGAGTTTGCAGGTATCTTCGATAGTTTGCTTCGTAGGAACACATGTGGCACTTCCATACTTTTCGCTTGTTCTGTACTGACTGACATGTCTCCTGAGTGTTCAACTGGTCTCTGGAGCCCATTTCTGTGGCGCTTACTTCTGGGGTATTACTTTTTAAAGACGTCCACACTGAGACACTAGAGCCTTGATCAGGTTGCTTTTCAGCTGAATGTTCAGAAGTTGTTGGCTTAGCACCATCGTGGTCCCTCACACAGTGGATTTTCAGTTTCTTCATTGATGCAAAAATGAGTGGACACATTTCACATAGGTACCCTTTCACATTAGAATTGTTTCCAACCGTACTCCCCACCATGTTGTTAGCAACTACTACATCTGTTGGAAGGTTGTCTGCCCTGGCAAGGATGTTTGGATGCCTCATTTGGCAGTGAGTGAGAGTGCCATGGTAACTTGAATTCACATAGGGGCAAGTTGGACACCTGTAGATCAATTTGTTGTTTTCCTCAATTGTGCCGGACTTACATGCCTCATCAGTGTTTTCTGGTTGATGAGGCTCTGGCTTCTCTGGGCCCTTCTTGTATACTGGGGCACAGTATTTTAAGAAGTTGCTCCTTCCATGTTTGTGGATATAATGGCTTCCAAGAAGTGGTTTTGTGAAATAGGAATTGGTACACAGTTCGCACTTGTATACACTATCCTGAATCTTTAAAACTGAAGCCTTCTTGTGGTGAACACGCACATGTCGATCAATCGCTATTTTTGTGCTGCTATGGTAAGTGCAGTACTGGCACTTAACCACTGCATACTTTTTCTTACATAAAAAGGAGATCTGTGAAACTGGCAGCCGATTGGCCAGGGTCTTATATTGTTTTATTTTGCTAACAGCTGAGGGTTTAGGTGGCTTTTCTTCAGTCTCCGTATGCTCTCTCTTGCAGTGCCTTTTCAGCCTCTCCACCGTTGAGCAGATATGGGGGCAGGTTTGACACATATAGCCCCTAATTTTTAAATTGCCAGGGTTACCAGGACCATTCATTTTCAAACAGTCGTCCCAGTTTGCTAATTGTGCTGTCTCCAAGTGAAAACTGTCTGCCCTGACTGTGAGGGTAGGATGCCTCATCTGGAAGTGAGTTTGAATTCCTTTGAAACCGGTATTGACGTAGGTACAATACGGACACTTGAAGACATGCATGTGTGTTTCACTTTGCTCTTGCTCTTGCTTTTGCTTTTCCTCTTGGTTTTCATTCACAGCTTCATAGTGTTTCATTCCACAGTGAACGCTTAAGCCGTGCGGTTTGTTAAACTTTGCAGGGCAGTAAGGGCACCTGAGCATTTTTGATGATGCTGTTGCTTTAGGGGGTGAAACAGGTGGCATGTCGAGTTCCAGAGGCACTTGGTAGGATTCTAATGTTTCAGGCATTTCATTGTCGTCTTCCATCTGCCTGTTTGCACTTTGTTTTTTGCTTTTGGCCGCATCCATGACAGAGCCGTCTTCTTTTACTGACCATGGATGAACATCACGGTAGTGTTGTGCGATGACTAACAATGAGCCACCCTTAAATGAACATGCTCTGCATGAATACGTATCAGTGTGTCCAGATCTTTTTGATGGTACGCTGTCATTACCTTCAGGAATATCATCAGTGCACTTCTCTTGAGGTTTTTGTCTTTTAGGTTCTCTTTTGGGACCAACATACAATCGATCAATCACATATTCAAGGCTTCGTTTACGCCCTGGGTGTTGCTCCTTGTGATGTTCAAAGACTGCTGCTGCGTTTTTGTAGGAGAAAACACACATGTCACAGTGATAGCCTGTCTGTAAATGTCCTTGTTCGTAACACAATTTTAAAACATTTGAGACTGTGCACTTTGTCTTGTGGATTTTCCCTATATGCCTCTTCAAAACACATACATATTGAGTTGTGTATGTGCATCTATGGCACTGAAGGGTCCTCTGGGTCTGTGAGGCTGGTGATGAAACTGACACAGATTTGCAAATCATTTTTGTTTTTTTCTTTTCATTGTTTTTTACCTCTGCAAGATTTACTTCTTGGCTTCCATTTGCTTTTAGGTCTGATTTCTGTGCCTTTTCACAAACAATAGTGGTATACAGACAAACTTGTTTGCTCGTAATCACAAATCCACTATGTTTTCTAGAGTAATGCCTCAGTACTGCTTGCACAGTGCGCTGTCTATAGTTACAATAGTGGCAGAAAAACATATCTTCATCGCCCTTTTTCATGAGGGGATGTGGTAGATGCGTGGAGAAGGCGAACTCCTTAGCTTGAGATTTAGATTTTTCAATTTCATCCCGAATCAAAGCTGTATGTTGAAGAATACATTCCTTGTCATAAGTTAGGCCTCTGTGAAGTTGGTTTTGATGGTTTGCTATTCCTTTTGCAGATGGATTTCCATAGTTGCACTTTTGGCAGTAAAACAAATTTTCCGCACAAGCATAAGCATTTCCTGCTTCGTCATACTCTATATGTGGAGCTGTTTCACTATATACCTCAGCTTGTTGACAGGTTTTGGTTTTAGAGGATTTAGTACTTCCTGGAGACTCAGCTTCACTTTGAAGTTTCTTTTTCCGCACAGCAACACTATGACTTAGGATCTCTTCAATGCATGTTAGTGCTTGGAGAGAGTGTTTGGCGTTATGATGACCAACAACGCTTTTAATTTTGGTACTTGAATAACCGCAAAACTGACAATAGAACAGTATACTTGGTGAACTGCAGGATAAACTATCCATTTCACTGTAGCGTTTAGTGGGCAACCTTTTTCTTGCTTCTTCCACAGATTCCTGTTTCTCAACTTTGGGAGACTCTAAATAAGTCTTAGAAGCGTCTGTCCGGTGCGTATGCTGTGATGGCTCAGCTTTGTCTTTTGTTTGCTCAGAAGAATCTGAGATGTTGGTTTGAGGCGCAGCTTTTTTTGTTATTGTCAGAGGGTTTGGAGACTTATCTGGCGTCATTTGTGATGTAGTAGGCGAAGGGATGCGAGCTAACTGTTTGATTTTGTCTATTGAGACTTCTTCACCTGGGTGGATTTTTTGGTAGTGGACATGCATAACAACAACGGACTTATGACTAAACTTGCACGTGTTGCAATGATACAGGATCACGTCTGCTCTGTTAGGGGTAGGATGTTGGGGTAAGGGTGCTAGCTGGGGTACAGCTAGCACTTCCTTACTAGCTATACAGGCACTCTCAGGAGGAATCTCTTCTTTTCTTCCTGGACTGGATGCTTTATCAATTGTATTTGACTGATATGATCCCTCTTGGCATCCAGTGGCTGAGTATCTGCAGTACATCAAGGAATTATCCAATCGATGTGTTGGGTGATTTTCCTTGTAATGTTTTATCAAAGACTCCAACATATTGGTCGTAAACAGACACACAAAACATTTGAACACCAAACTGAGTTCACGTGAATGCATCTTGAAGACATTTGGGGCCTCTGGATGATTTTCAGTGTAGTGTTTCTTGAGGTTAGCTACACTCAAAAACTCAACTGGACACTGCAGACAGCGAAAGGTAGCACTCGCATCACTTGGATCCTTTATGTAAGCAACATTGTATCTTACATAGGGGTGGTTGTTCTGATAATGGGTAGACACATTCGTGATGCCCACATCTCTGTATTCACAGTGCTTACAAAGATAAACCAGTGAATTTTCTGTGTCTCCATTGACACAATGACGTTTATTTTCTCCTTCATCTTCGCTCACATCAAATGAAAACTCTGTGTTGCTTGATGGTTTTTGTTTACTTGTGTTTGCTTTCTCTGGTAGCTTTGTCATTTCTTTGTTCGTCTTTGATTTTTTAGCTGGTGGGCTTCTTGATGTTTCATTGTTGGTCCTCTGGCTACCTTTGTCAGGAACCATGTCTCTTGATTGATCCTTGGGCTTTGGTGGTTTCAGGTCAGTACTTAAAAAGTGGTCATTCAGCAAAAACTGTTGAGAAACATGGTTTAAGTCAATGATAGACTTTGCATTTACTTTAAACACACCACTGCTGTTTGGACTGGAGCTTGGGGGAGATTCCTGCAAAATAATGGTCGTTTTGGTGCATTGTGGAAGCTTTGCGCTTTCAGCTAACTTCCCTGTGGTTTTCCCATTTGATCCCGATGCTGCCACAAAGTACTTTGTAATGGTTTGCAATTGCCTCTTGTATGTCTTCCGATCCTTGGATGTGTTAAGTGTGGATTTTGATTTTGAGGTAGACATAACTGAAAGACAGGAGGGAATCTCACTTGCTCCTACAGCAGCATCACCACGCTCTTTTTTTGAGACTTCAGATATCTCGGCACCCGGGTTTTCAGAGATGATTACATTTCCAATCACGTTCTGATCTTCTGTCTTTATTTGACAATGTTTCTCATGATTTTTGAAAACGTCCAAATTTAAAGCTTTAAAATCACACTGCTGGCATTCAAAACCATCTTCTGTATTTGTGGAATTGTAGTCAACATTTGCGTTGTTAGTCCCAGGGTTTTTTAAACCAGACTCTCTAAGAGCATCTTCTACATCATAGCCATGCACATTTTTGAGGTGTTCAAAAAGATAGACCTTGGATTTAAAGGGGACAGTACATTGTCTACACTGGACAGACTTGGTTGTGGTCTCTTGAGAGATAACGGGGTTCTCTTTCATGTGGCCAGAAGAGGAAAAGTGTGTTGAATCTAAGGAGGTAAATAACAGATACTGTTGAATAAAACTCAACGTGATGACATGCATTACACTGAAACGGCATTGTCACTAAATAGAAAGTGATAAATACCTTGTTGCATCTTGGACTCCTCTCTAAACACAGAGAATGAACACACAGCTGTGACCCGCCTAGAGGATTGAAAGCATAAATGATTGGGTTGCTGAAGGTACAAAACCACTTTGTTAACACTGTTTAAGTTAAGTGTTCTACTGAGGGCTTCTACATGGATTCAAAAGGAAAAAACAATATCAACAAGGGATATACTGCTACTACAGCAGTTCACCAATGGTCCAAGAAACAACTTGGGACCAAAGTCAGGTATGTTCAACAGGAAGGAAACGAAGAGCAAGCCCAGCAGCCCCTTACCAAAAAAAACTATTTGAAAAACACAATGAAAAGACATAGTACACAAATATAACTAATTAAAACCTATGTGCAAATAAGTAAAGTACTCACGCATGTAGACAAGCCCAAGAGTAGGCTTATAATACAATATTTTGAATCGATGATGTTGTTAACGTAGAGAGAGGACACATTTCCGCCATTTTTCCCGCGAGTCCAACTCTCTCTGGCCTGCTTCCGGTCCGACATCAGAGGATGTCACTTCACTTCCGTCGAGAACCTCTTAACCTTCAAAATAAAACAGATTTGGGGCACTTTGCACAGACAAAGGACACACAATATCACTTAATGCACTTGAGGAGACGATAAAGTAACTGGTGAAACATTAATTTACCAGTGAATTATTGTTATAGGCTAGCCGCTACATACTTTTATAACGAGCTGATGGAGCACAGGCGATGTTCTGCTACTTCGACATTTGAGTAACGTAACCCCCGGAGCCATATCCGTTTAACATTTATTTATTTTTAACCCACACTTACACCTTTTTCATGAAAAAAATGGTCACTTGTTAAAATGTATTTGAATGTCTTAATGCTTTTATTTTTTTACGGATTGGCTCAGAGAACATTTTGATCGATTGAGTTATTAATTTAACTGATTCAAAATAAATAATAAGTCATAACCTATTACATAATTACGGCCATGTACATTTCGTTTTAGTTTTGTAGTGTGTTTTTTCTCAAACACATGTGCCGACGGATCTTGCAGAACGCTGTCATTGGTTCCGCATACTGCCATTGTTTCCTCCGGAAGAATATCGGGCGGACAATAACAGGAGAGCAGAAACGTAGTAAGTTTTACCTCACAGCGTGAGGCTCACACTGAATTCGGTTTAAGACAAGTTAACGTTGATACAAATCGTTTGCTTAAGCCCGAGTTAGCTTTATAGTTGATGTGCTTTTAGGTACAATATTATGTCAGTATTCTGTCATATTAGTGTGTGCCGTTTTCATTATTATTCTATTTACAAAACTAACTGACCTTTATCAAGTGCCAATAATCTGCTCAACTGCAGCTCTTTTTGCGCCCATGTTCTTCCCAAATTCACTTCAAATCAGCATTGATTAACGCCTAATGCATCTTAAAACATGGCATCTCCAATTGTTTTGATAATGACCTGCAGTGTCTTTATAAATGTATGGAAATCTTAAAAAAACACATATTTTCAAGGCATTCAAAATTGTTCTTACCTCATAGTCAGAGCTAGAAATCTTCTATTAGCATACACGTCTAATTTCTAAAAGTTCTGAAGGTTATAACATACATGTTTGTCAGTATATCATTCATTTTATATCTGACTATTATAACTTCAAAATTAAACAAGATTATTTAACCTGTCTTTATACAAAGTTCAGATTTATTTTCCAGAAATGTATGGTAATTACATGCGTTTGAGATTTTTTTAATTGTCATTCTGTATATCTTTTGACCTAGAATGTGCACAGACAAAGGACACGCAATTAATAATGCAGCTACACCCACACACACTAAAGCTCTCTGACGCATGAACACTTCAGTCTTTGTGCATCTGATTATCTCTGACACAAAAGGTATGCCTGTTGCAGCAAATCAGTCCTCTTTGAAAAAGCCATTGACAAAACATTGTGTGCTTTTTTTGTGTGTAAAGGGGTGTTGTTCTCTGAGATTTTTTTTCAATCTGACCTCAGAAAAACAACATGCTCGCAGCCAAGCTGACCAGCCAGTTACCTCTGGATGCCCTGAGGAGGATTCATCATGGAACTTCTTACCACTGTCTCTACACCCTGTCGAACGTCTTCCTTCACACGGAGGGAGGGAGGACGAGAGATGCAAGTCTCCTCTCTGATTCCAGTGCACTGAGAAGAGGGTTTTACAGCCAGAGTGCTTTCCGTCCAACATTTAGACTACGAGACACACAGCAATATGGGAGAAGATCCATCAGTCTATCCGCTGCTACAATAGTGAACTCAGCACCAAGGCCAATCCAGCCATACCTCAGATTGATGAGGCTGGACAAACCTATTGGTTAGTACATTCACTTTCATTACATCTTTCAGTGTATGTGTATGACATTTTTTTAAAGAGAGTTTGATACTGTAGGTTTGGAATTGTTTAGTATTACATTTAGTTCAAGTGCTTGGAATATTGTCAAACCTGCATTTTGGGGATCCTTTTTATAGTATTTCACACATTTTTTAATAACCATATTTATAAGTATACAATAGGATATTAGAAATATGTGTGAGTGATGGTGTGTCTGCGTATTGCAGGAACATGGCTGCTCTACCTCCCATGTGCATGGAGCATTGCATTGGCTGCAGACCCTGGACACCTCCCACATTTGGGCATACTCACCCTGTTTGGTACGGGTGCGCTGCTGATGAGAGGAGCGGGCTGCACTATTAATGACATGTGGGATAAAGACTTTGACAAAAAGGTATAAGACAATTCATATAAAGCCATTTCCAAAATAGCTGAGAGATACAGGTGGCTTTTGGTCAAACTTTTTTACCAAACAGCTTTAACTGTTATTTTTTGCTTAGCCCTTTCAGCTAGATTTTGAATTAACAAGAATTATTTTAAATCCTTCCTCTCTTTGATAGCTATAAATGACATGCCATGACACACAATAGGATGCTGTTTAAGCTGTGTTTTTTACTTATCTGCATTATCGTCACTCACATAGTCACAGCCAATGACGACCTCCCTATGTCATGACTAATTAAACGTGATAATGTTTTAATAAAGGTGTCCAGGACGGCCACTCGACCCATTGCATCAGGAGAGATTTCTCAGAGGCAGGCCCTCGTCTTCTTAGGAGGACAGCTTTCTCTGGCACTTTGTGTTCTCTTGTGTCTCAACTATTACAGGTATCAAGTGATCTCTGTGTTTTCCTTAGATCTTTATATTGTATCATATAATATTATATGATCTGTATATTTTAGTTATCAGTTTAAAGAGAATAGCAGAGAGGACAGAACGATGAAGCAAGTGTGTAGGTCAGACAACAAATACTGTCTTCAGACTTTATTTATTGAACTGTCCCATTGGTTATGTTGCCATCTACTTTGACTTTGTTCAACAATTGTAATGGGATCTTTTACCCACCGGGGGACAAAATCCACATTCCAAACCACGTTCAAATATAGTAGGCTAAAAATTACAGGATGCTCTAATGTGTTTAATCACATGTTTAAGTATGCAAGCTAGCATGCTTTTCTGGCTATTCTATGTACTAAAAGTAAAAGAAAAGATTTAGAACTAAACTGTACGATTCTGCAGAAACACATTCAAAAGTCTCAGTAAGAGTCAATGTCTTCCAAAGTTACAGTCTCAGTGCAGAAATCCCTCTTTATGTTACAATCCCTCTACTGCAGGTCAGCAGGAAAACACTTTCTGGAAACACACAGAAGGAATTTAGCACTAAAAAGACTGTAACTATGGAAGATGTTCACTGGATTTGTATAACCCAGGCTGATGAAGCCTCATATTAGCTTAAGATAAACCTTTTTTTACAAAACAAGGACTGTGGATACTGCCCCTAATCACTTTAATGTCCAGGACAGAAGGGATGTTTTCAATGAGCATATCTGTTTCGATTTCCATATAGGCCCCTTTGGTTTTAGAACAGCCTGTTATAACTGAATCAAACTGTTTACCAGCTACCTTTTTATAGACTTGTGCCATGCAGTGTGTTAATGCACAAGAACAAGGGATTTGTGTAAGAATGCTGACTAAAATGGACCTAAATGCAAATGTGTTCATATATTCATCGCTTGACACGTATGTACTCTTCCCAGCATAGCCTTGGGTGCTGCCTCGTTGTCTCTAGTCATCTCCTATCCACTGATGAAGAGGATCACTTACTGGCCGCAGTTTGTGTTAGGTATGAGCTGTATAAGACTCTCCTGTGGTGTTTTAAATCGTAATACTTCTTCCCATCAGGCTGAAGTCTGTCTCATGTTCCTAATGTTCTTTCTGTTCAGGCCTCACTTTCAACTGGGGGGCGCTGCTCGGCTGGTCGGCCGTCAAGGGCTTCTGTGATTGGTCTGTGTGCCTCCCGCTGTATTTCTCAGGAGTGATGTGGACGCTGATATATGACACAATATATGCACATCAGGTGAAGTGTACAGTTCCTATTTATGTTTTGTATGAAGCGCTTAGTTGACATATATATTGTTAGCCGCTCACATTTAGTAAATAAATAGTTCAAAACAATTTTTCAATCTAGCTTGGTTTGGTGTAAGTTGTCGTATGTTGTCGACATTTGCTGTTGAGATATCTGCCTTCACTCAAATGTAATAGATCTAGAACTTTATATATACAGTCTATGATCTAGAAGCACTCGGCTTGTGTGTGAGTAAAGCACCATAAAATACATTTAAAAAGTAATGAGCATTGTCTCTTTCCAGTAAACATGACTTGGTTACTTCAGATTTTCCACAGACCTTGCACTGAGCAATTTCATGTAGAAACTATTTTCTGTCTATGGTATTACTGCTCTTAAAGGTGGGGTAGGTAATTTTGGAGAAACCAGCTCGAGTGCGCTAGAATTTGAAAATACACAGCCGGAAAAAATCTGCTACTTCCTTACAGAGCCCCTCCTCCAACACACACGAACGCGCACATGACCAATGAGGGCACGAGAAGTTTGTGCACAGATGGAAGGCTGACAGGCAGGCAGTCCATCCAGTTATTTTAGCCGAGCCGGCTAAAATGATTGGTCGTGCTTTTTACAGTACTACGGCTTCCACAGATGACGATTTTTTGTCAAAGCACTTCAGATATTCATTGCTATCGGGATGTTAAGAGCATTCCATGGAATATAACAAAAAGTGTATCTCGAGCCGGTTTCTCAAACGTACCTACCCCACCTTTAAGGAAACATGCATTTATATACATTTCCCTTCACATAGCAACTCACACCAAAACAATCTAGGTTCATGAATAGCACTATTGGTTACAGAACAAATATGTTATATTTTTGAGTGAGCTGTACCATTGAACCATTGCTTCACTTGCATTGTATTACATTGAATTTAGTCACGTAGGAATAGAACATAAGCTTAATGCCTCATATTTAAAGTAGTGTATAATTGATTGAGACTAAGTTCCCTCTATTCTTTCTTTGTTAACTAGGATAAGGATGACGACGTCAAGATCGGAGTGAAGTCTACTGCGCTGAGATTCCAGGAGCAGACCAAACCTTGGCTGAGTGGCTTCACGGTGGCCATGTTGTCAGGCCTGGTGGTAGCCGGAGTCAATGCTGAACAGACCCTCCCTTACTATGCTGTTCTGTCCACAGTGGCTGTTCACCTCACGCATCAGGTGAGGAACATGGAGGTGTACAGTGCAGTCTATATGCTGGCTCCAAAAGGGTGGATATGTATTGTACAGAGAGATATGACAAAGCAAAGAACATATAACGAAAGTGTGAAAAATATGGGTTTTCTATTAAAAGGTGATATTTCCTCTCCTCTCTTTTTAGATTTACACATTGGACATTCACAAACCAGAGGACTGCTGGAAGAAATTTGTGTCAAACCGAAACCTTGGATTGTTGCTGTTTTTAGGCATTGTCGCTGGAAATCTGTGGAAAGAAAGAAGAGAGACTTTGCTACAAAATGAGGAGGAAGTCAGATAAGTGACACAAGCAGAACAATTATTCATTGTATTACATTTTCAGTACTTCACAATGCTTCACATTATACTTCTGGGAACAAAGCTCTGTGAGAGAAACATGATGAACTGATTTTAACCCTGACTGTAATATTATTGGTTACTTTTCTTTGACTTTTGATTGATAAAACAATTGTACAGAGAAAAGGGAAGAGAGAGTATGTCAGACGAGCAAATGGGTGGAGTTACATTCATATCCCTGCTGCTGAGGGAAACACCTCTTGGTACATACAAAATATAATTTGTGCTGCTGATTGAAACTCTAGTGGCTGCACACATTCACGCAAAAATCAGCTAAATGGAGTGACGATAAACCAGGCAAATCCTTTATTTGTTGTGACTAAATTTGCTTCTTTTTTTTCAATAGGCAGTATCAGTATTGGTTTATAACTTGTCAAAATCACCATAAATAAATATAAAGTATAAAAGAAACAAACAAAAAAGGTACGATTCCAAATTGTCTGTCAACTATCTGAGTAATGGGCCCGATAGACATATTATATCATATTTTACACTTTTCATGTGTATGTTTAATTGGTACTGACCAATCAAAAATGCTGCTAAAAGATCTGTGTGTGAAGAAGTTCAAATAAAAATAAGAAGTATCAGTAATACATAACCGAGTCAGTTGTCAGTCACATGTTTCTTCCTTTAGAGGGTAGATTATTTGTTTTTACAGTTTGAGAATAATGTTTTTTTAAGTGGCTGGCTTATGCAAAGTGCCTCCATACAAATGTATTATTAACATCTTTGTTGTTAGAGAGAGGGAACAAACCCGGGTTTAGATTGGTATCGGTGTCAGCAGACACGAGAGGTTTTAGTATTTGACATCAAAGAGTTATTTGCCATCCCTTCAATGAACATGGATTTACAGGGAAATGTTAATGTCTTGTTATCCTTGCTCATTACACCTTAAAGCTGCATTAAACCGTTTTCACCACTAGGAAGCAGTAAAACAGCCCACCTCATGAAGTTGTTGCTGACCACTAGTTTCATTTGAGTCAATCCACTATTGAGAAAGAAATCTGGCTTTATTTTCACTTTTGTCATTTGTCATTTTCACTTTGAGTCACTAGTTTTTGTCCAGCGAGTCAGACAGGATCCCTTGCCATGCCTGAGCTTGTTTGATGGACTGCGCTGCCAATTATTTTGCATCAGGGTTTGGTTTTATGTTACACTCAACCAAACAGTATATTGGCAGGTTTCTCAACCCTAAACAATGGATGAATGATGTTCAATGTGGAACACACCTGCAGCTCTCTGTTCCTCTCTGGAGCTGCTCACTCACATGGCAGGGTTTAATGACATAGAAAATGACCCCATATACAGATTTGAATTACAAAAAGTATTTTTAGTTTATGCTAGCAGAGACCAACCTTGAAATGTTTAAATGTTAAGTATTGTTGCTTTTAGCACTGTAATCTAGTTCATTTTGCAACATTGACTGAAACATAGAAATATGTTATGAAGTCAAGTTACATCCTACTCAAAGACTACTCGAGATAAATAAAATGGTGTGAATAATGTAGCTTTGTTGACATTTCATTGATTATTTCTTCCAAATTCAACAAAAAGTATATAGAGGACAAACAACAAAATACTAAGACAAGTATAGACATGTTCATTCATATATTTTAATGATAGAACAAGTATGTTGTATGTCTGGGAGTGTGTTCAGATTACTACATTTCTAAACTTTGTTGAGTTTTAATAAGATAAAGAGCAGCATTATATTAAGAAGTGGAAACAGACCAATGTATGTTATAGACAAAAGTCTCAAACCAGACATATCCCTTAATTCTACTGCAATAACAATACAAGCAACAATCATCTGAGTGTTTATCCATCCTAAACAACTGTATATTTTACTTTGTGTAGATGAGAGTTTTGGGTGCAAGTACCTGTGTATATGATAATCTGCCTTCACTGTTGCTGCCCAGGTCCACATTCCCACAAAGTGACCTAAATGACAACCATGCCACCACAGTGAGAAACTAAAAGTCATGAACAGCGGGAAAACGTTTGCATCTGATATAAACCAGCCTACGCAGCCATGAAGCTGTTGTTGCGTTCCATCGACGGGCAAACTCAGACATACGGCTGGAGGCTTCGATGGTGCAGAAATCTCCATCGGATGGTTTGCACCCGTCTGGGGAGTCTTCGGGTTCTTTTTCCCAAAAGCCAAACCCAGCTGCGTTATTGAGGCATTCACTGATCCTCCAATGAGAATAATATTGTATTCTAAAAACCAGCGCCAGACCCCAAACCCACAGGACACCATAGATAGAGGAGGAGGAATCATAGTAGCTGTGTTTTAGAAAATAGACAACACAAAACTTAACGCACTCCAGCAAAATAATCTGCATCAATTTTAGAAGGAATACACCCAGTGGATTAGGTGGAGCGTGGAGGCTGATCCCTGCCATTAAAGACACAAAGTGTCTGTAGGAGCACAGAGGCCCGCCGAGCAGAGTGGTGAAATTGAGGATGTAGCTGATGAGAGGGAGAAGCATCACACACGCCTTGCTTTTGGATGAGGCATTAAATGTTAGCACAACTCGTTTCTCCTGGAGGTCCATCGACAGCGAAGTGATTCTCTGAGTCAGCAGCATCAACGAGGACACTGCCAAAAACAACCTGGAAGGGGAAATTGTGGATGAATTGTCTGTATGCATTTCATGTTTTTACCCAGAGCAAAGGGCATAATACAGTTTAACAACAATTCTCCAAGCTTATCGTGCAAAGAACTAGCCCAAACAGACTCACCTTTAGGTCCATTTATTAGCTGTTTTAAAAACGTCACCTCACAAATTCTTTGTAAAAGCAGCTGACATTTTCTGACAACATATGTCAAACATTTTTGTCAACTTCATTATCTGTTATCCAGCTGGCAGAAAACAAATGGATTCATTCTGAAATCCATATTTTGTTCCTTTTGCTCTTGATTATATTCAAAGAGGATTTTCTACTTTAACATGCATTGGCCTAAAATATTAAATTACATTGTTTTGATATGTTTATTTGCTTCCGACATTAATGTAATACTCAAGGATCTTTTTTGGAAGGGTATCCATCTATACAACTTGCAATGATAAGCTATATAGTTACACAACACAAATATTACGGCATGGCACAGTGGAACAAGATATATGTTTTAGTAGGATCAGTTAATAGTTGTCTTTGTACGTGTAATGGAATTAGATGAGAATAAGAAACATAGAATATTGTATATAATATGATAAAGTATATGTCTTGTTTAACATAGAGATGAGCTGATTAGTACCTGATGCTGACAGGCTCATGCAGGTAGTATTCCCTGTACTGTATGAGTAGGTGCCAGAAGGTTTGCCACAACATCTGGACAGCAAACACCCAGTTGTGGACACGGCGGAGATCCACAGAGCACACGAGCAGAATGAAGACAGAGGTGGAGGTGAAGAGAAGCAGGCTGTAGACGCCCATAGTGACAACTGCCAGGACGCATCCTCCGACTGAAACAAACAGGTACCTGCACACACAGAAATCCTTTTGTAGTCAGACACTGTTTCAATTGTTGATTTAACATTTGCTTAAAAATAACTATCTGCAGCTTCTACAACATTAACATCTTTCTGCTTTTCTCTGCTTTATACAATTCTAAACTGACGGGCATTCTACTTTTTTTTACAATATAACCTGACAAACAGATGATTATAGTGTTTCACATTGACCTTTTTGCACTTCTTTTAACTTAGAGTGGTGCTCATTTGTTTTACAATCTGTCTTGTCAATAATTGAAATACAACATTCAAAAACAACTATTGATTTAATGAAGATAAATTAAATATTAACAAATACAAATAAAAAATACATTCATTTTCACAATGGTGCTGTTATTGCTTTATGTTACAGTTTGAGTGATTATTAAATATTTCATTTGTTTTACAAACCGAACTTCATAAACCTATTTAAATGTCAATCCAAATAGATATTAAGATATGGCTTCAATGAAAGATATGACATGAGATTATTATCCAAGGCTCCTGGAGTATCTGGAATGACTTGAGACATAGTTTGATTTTTATAAAATGTATAAGCAATCAACTTGTAAATACATACCTGTACGTCAAACCCAGATATCCTCGTTTAGCAAGAATATAAAACAAAAATGCGAATGGAAGTGAAAAGCATTGATGCATCAGAAACTGATGTTGTTCCCACAAGCTGCTCATCAAACCCATATCTGAGTCTCTGTGTGAATATGACAGGAGAACAAAGCCGCTGATATTTAACATGTGCAGCAGATTGTCCTGTTGAAGAGGTGATATATTAGTTTTACAGACTTAATGTCTTGCCATTCCACCTGAGGCCTGCATGAAGCTATCCCTTTTGTTTACCATGATCACAATGTACTGATAAAAGTGATTCCTTTTGTTGAACATTATCAGCGCTGTGGGATTCAAAAGCCTTTTTATCAGTCCATATTGTAGTTGCCCTAGAGAGAAACCTGTTTTCTTTCCTTCCTCAAATTAAACAAATAGCAACGCAGGAAGTCTGTTTTCATTCCAGTCTGTTTTTAAACAAACTGTCCCACAATCATAATCTCTTACTCAAGAGGGATTTACTGTACGTAAGATATTATAGGAACTGGTTAAAAAATTCCAAATACAACAAGCATGAAAGAGTTTTTTTTTTTTTGGACAATTATTGTAAACAAATCAAGCGGTATATCAAAGAAATAAGGAAAGGTAAGCACCTTGGGTGCCTGGGAATTTTTTTTATCCCAATGGTGAAAGTTGCAGCATTTGCATATGCAGAATCAGCTAATGCCCTTTTTACATGTTTTTTACAGTCAAACTTAAAGGTAGGGTAGGTAAGTTTGAGAAACCGGCTCGAGATCGCTAGAATTTGAAAATACACAACCGGAGAAAATCTGCCACTTCCTTACAGAGCGCCTCCTCCAACACACACGAACGTGCACATGACCAATGAGGGCACGAGATAAGTTTGTGCACAGATGGAAGGCTGACAGGCAGGTAGGCCATCCAGTTATTTTAGCCGGGCCGGCTAAAATTATTGGTCGTACTTTTTACAGTACTTACAGGCTTCCACAGATGACATTTTTTTATGGATTTTTTGTCAAAGCACTTAAGATATTCATTGCTATCGGGATGTTAAGAGCATTCCATGGAATATAACAAAAAGTGTATCTCGAGCCGGTTTCTCAAACGTACCTACCCCACCTTTAAGATACTGATATTCTGAACTTTGCACAGTAGATGTCTGATGTTTACAAATTGTTAAGAGAGATATTTTCTCTAGTAGTATGTTTTGATCAACCCTCGATAAAAGGAAATGTCGAAACTAAGTTGGTATGTTACATATATATTACACAACATTTAGTTTTGAAAAGTGCTGTAAAAACAATAAAGATTGTTATATTTGGAAATGTTCTAAAGAGCAATACACATGCATGTCTGATGTTCCCGTGTGAGTGGGGCCTAGTGTCAACATGTTTTTCTGGTGCTCATCATGAGGCAACTACAGTCACTGCCAACTATGAATCACGTCTTGAGTTACTGGCAGCCAGAACATAATCCCACAAGGGAAACACAGTTCACGGGAAGTTAGCATTTGCCAAGACTCATAGCAAGAATGGAAGTGTATAACAACAAACCAAAAACTTTCGCTTTGCCTCTCACTGGATTTAGTGTCCCTGATTACTGATGAAACATTGCAACTGCATCATTTCTTATCTTAAAGGTAGGGTAAGTAATTCACTTCAGAAACACTTTTTGTTATATTCCATGGAATGCTTAACATCCCAATAGCAATGAATAAATTAAATGCTTTGTCAATAAATATATACAAATATTCCATCTGTGGAAGCCGTGGCGCTGTAAAAAGCAAGTCGAGCTGGTTTTCTTCATTCTTACCTACCCTACCTTTAATATATTTGTTGTTATTATTTTAGCATTTTCTCTAAATTATGTTTCAAAAAGTTAGTGACCATACAGAAAAATGTATGCGCATAAAAAAAATGAAAACATGTTTCTTACAAAGCCATGCAATCATTTACGTTTTGTTACAATGATAAAGACTTATAATACAACTGCATTATTAACAGAATTTGACATGAATACCTAAAATCTCTTTTTGACATGTATACAAAATAGTCTCAGTGATGCAAGAGGAAAAGTCAGATGTCAACAAAGTCATTAGGGTTCAACTTCTAGGAACTAAGAACGTATAAACACAATTTCCAAGCGATCTGATTAATATTTGTAGAGATATTTCTGATTCAAATAGCTAGTATTGCTTAGAAATCGCATTCCTTATAGTATGCATAGGTGGACATGAAATCTTACCATATGTGCAACACATATAATGAAGTGAACTGAGGATTGTTTTCATGCTTTGCTCTGTGTTTAATGTCTCTCAATGTTAGTCTATTTCTTTGCTATTTGATCTTTATGCTCTTATCTGCTGCTGTGACATATAGCGTGTGCTTCATCGATTGAAATATACCGTGATCTAAATTATTCTAAAATATACCACTCCAGCCAGGGTTCGAGTTATAAACTGAGCTCTATGGGGGTCTTTGAAACTAACGCGCACACACACACACACACACACACACACACACACGCACACACGCACGCACACACGCACACACGCACACACACACCACACACACACACACACACACACACACACACACACACACCAATAATAAACATATGGACAGGGGTTACTATTTAAAAAAAATTGCAAATGTATTTGGGAACCTATCCATGTGAACATATTTTGGGGGTGGACCTCAAATCATCTAGGGGGGTCCGGGGGCATGCCCCCCCTGGTAAGATATTTTTTTAATTTTGGAGTTAAATGCATCAATCTGGTGCATTTTGAGGGGAAAATAAAGAGACTTGATCTATGGAAACACCCATATGAAACAGATGCCACATCATGTAGACAGACAGTCACCCTGTGTGAGGCAAACCCACATTTGCGCAGCGTTGCATTCACAATAGCCTACATTAAGGCCATCGGGAAACCTCCAGATGGCCAGTCTGGGCCTGCCAGCAGCCCTCTACTCGCTACAAACTTAAATATGAAAACATAGCCGTGGGAACATGTTTCAAATGGGGGGTGCTGTGGGGATGACACCAGGGCCGGTTCTGACCAATTTGCTGCCCTAGGCAAGATTTTTGCTGGTTCATTTATATCTTATTTTATCAGTTAACATTTATTTATTCATCCATATTTTTTAATCTCTCCAGTTTTAAAGGATATTGTTGGTTTACTGTCCTATAGTATACATTGGAATGATTTCAAACCTGTTTTTATTTATCCTAATAATTATAAAGGTGTGCCTTGGAAATATTTGTTTACATAAATTGTGATAAAACCGTTTGAGACACACTGTGATAACTTAGACTAAAGTGAACTATCTAAACACTCAGAGTCCTTTACCTCACTGAGCCTCTCAGGGCAAATGTAACCGGGGTGAAAAGGGTGTTATCTTTACTTAATTATGAATGTGAACATCAAGGCCGAACATTTTTTTTTTTTGTATTATATTTGTATTATATTTCCATTTAATCTTGTGGACGTGCAGATTCCCTGTCCTCCATCAGGGGGTGCTGCAAGCACCCTCAGCACCCCTACTTACCACGGCCCTGTATGAAAAGGTTAAACTACGCACACACACATGATCTCGGCTCGCGCAGCATGCTCACAGGCATAGATTGTGCAAGAGGTGCAGTGCAGGCATATTGTTATTCAAGAGATGCGTTGTTCTTTTGGAAAACATGTTTTTCTTTTCAATAATACTCATTACATTGACACATGCATTATTTGTGATTAAAATAATGGTTGTTGGTAATGTATTAGCGACCCCCACAGATGTATGATTTCACTGCGTCCGTGGGAGCTCAGACCCCTCCTTATGGGAGCTCAGCTCCCATTGGCTCCCACATAACTCGAACCCTGACTCCAGCTAAAGGAACAGTGTATTCCAGTGAGACAAGAATACATTTAGATGTATTCTTGTCTCACTGCCCCATTATTTTAATTGCTGCCAGAAAACGAGTTGCCACTCGATGAAAGCTACAAACACAATGAATATGACACAGTGGTGTTTAACCCTTGAGGACACATTGATTTTTACAAACAGAATAATATCCCTGTCCTAAATGCCCACCATTAGCTAGAAATAAGGATGAAGTTATCCTATCCTAGTCTCATTTAATTTGAGGAAAAGTTATGACATGTACATATCCAGGATATGTTTTGAGTTATCCGGTTGACTAAATCCAAAAAAAAACGCTCTCGCTAAACGGTCCTACGACGCTGGCTATCAACTCGGTCGCTCAAGCCAGCCGTGTCCTATCTAGTTAGGTGCGCGTTCACATGAAAGGGGTGGTATTTGGAGTGTTCGACCAATCACAAACATGGACAAGCCGTGTAGCCTACTGACAGCGCAGCGCGTCATATATTTCCTGAATGAAAAGTCAACTAATATTAGACAAATATGAAGACGTTAAACTTTAAACATCCATGACTTAAACACTTTATCCAGGATAAAAGCCACATAGTTGCAGCTGCAAGGTGAATACTGCTGGTAAAAGAAAAAGTGTTTGAATACGTTCATTAACAGTTTTATGATATCACTGCTGCCCCGTCTAAGACACGAGTGGATCTGACTTTAATTACATTTGACTCGAGTGTTTCGTCAACTTAATGTGTTGCTTAAAATAATACTTCTGCATACAGTATGTGACACTGTGAGTGTTGCACGCCAGATACGGCTCAAGAAGCTGACTCAGATAAGGAAATATATTATGATGTGATATCATGTGATATGAATGATAATGGGACACATCGCCGTCTGCACTCACAGTGCCGCGGACTGTACGTACTGTTACTTTGATCCGGTTACTTATGTTGTGGCAGATATTTAAGTAAGCTTTCTTAACGCGAATTGTAAGTGGCTACTGCCTGAGATCGCATGCTGTGGTTTTATTAAATGTGCCAACTGCTAGGACTGTTTTAGGGAAAATAGCATTTAGATGCGCAGCTCCACTGTCCTGGAATAGTCTGCAATTAAAATGGAAACTGAGCAATCTGGTGCCACTAAATGTTTTTAAAGCTCGGTTGGATGCTACTGAATCGGAAGCTGTTGGTACCTGTGCATGTGGATAGTATGCAGTGGCGACTGGTCATTAGGGGCAGGTGGGGCACAGCCCCACCTAGTGTCAGCAGAAAGTATTACAAATAATGATTACAAAAATGCAAAAAAAAAAATAAAAAAAATATAAAATATATTTTAAGATCATGTTTAATCATCTGATTCGTCTGTACATTGCTGTTTTAGTCTGTGTTCTTCTAATTAGTGTGTCTACAGTCACAGTGTGTGCCTATTGAGCTGTTTAGAGCCATGTGGGACAAAACCTGATTATGCCCCTTCCTCTCGCTGTGAAGTGAACGTGACTGTAAAAACTACACTGCGCATGCTCAGAGTATTTTGTAATGTAATGTGTGTGGCAAAAAAATAATGACCAGAGGGGCACGGAGCTACCATCCCCACCATACGTCATCTCAAATCATTCAGAGCTGATTGGCTGTAAGTACGTGTGCCGCGAAAAGTGTGCTGTGTGAAGAGGAGACGAGAGAGCTGCAGTGGCG